GTCTGCTGCTGGTTGCAAGTTTTCTGTCGGATATTCACAAATATACAATATAAATCACCAATTAGTTACAATAATTCCCAGTTTACAAGACGAGGATTTAAAACAAATACTAAAGCAGAAATAAGGTACACCCAACGCTATAAAAAAAAGATACGAGAATGAAAAGATGAACATGGTGACTATAGATTGACCAGCACTGCTGTCTATAGTTGGTTGCTCTCCTGTCTAGATAACTCCCGCTCGAGACAACTACTGTAACGCCCAATAAAGTCCCTGGTGTATCTCAAGCAAAATGATAGCTGATATGTAAGTGGTAATAATGCGACGGGAAAAATATTCTTAAAAGGAAGGAAAGGAAGAACGATATCAGATGAGGCGGCAACTAGCTCCACAGAAGGACCATCATTGACGCCCTGGCCATTCAGCAGAAGGGCCTTGGGTAAGCGATCGGGGTTGTGCTTCAATCACATAGTCGATACCATTGTCAGAAGTGTAGCTGGGAGGCCGTGGTAATGGCACCTTGCCGCCCGAACCTTGGGCCTTGTTTACGTGTTGCGGTAAAGAGGGGGCATTGCCGTCTACGCGGTGCCAATAGAGTAAGTCTGGATTAAGTCTCTGGGATGCATAAATTAGCCAAACAGATCTGTGAGCAGTCAGTCGGAATGCGTCTAAATATATCACTTACTACGCTACTTCTCCAGAGGCCATACGCTGGAGGCGGGGGCGTGACCTTCTCCCGGCTGGCACCATTGTTTTGAGTCAAAGTCTCCTCGTCCCCAGCGAGAATGACATGAATGGGACGCTCTGGCTGAACGTAGCCAGTTGGCCCTGCTCTGCTTGGTATCCGATTCATAGCCATAGTAGATCTGGAACCTCGCAAGGTCACCATAGAAAATCGGATAAGGGAATGAAAAAAGACAATGGCAAGGATCAGAATCATAAATATCAAAAGTATATGAAGTTCGTGGCCTAGGTGCGATTTGGAGACAGTGAACGCAAAGTCTATACATTCGGTCAGCATACCTTTAGCCCTGAAGGGTAGATCGAACTTAGACCTACAAAGAGAAAGGGCTAGGATTAGGAACAGAGCAGATGTGGTAAGTGTGACAAGCCGTCGTCTCGTATTCTTTTCTCTTAGTATCGAGGTGAACGAGAGTGAGCGGCTGTTGGAGTTCCCAGTGTCTCTTTGCACACCCTGCTCCAGCCTAATGTAGGACTGGTTCCTATCGGCAAAATCGTCCTGCTCTGATCTAGGTTGCGCGTTGGCTCTGTAACAAGGCTCTCTTGGAGCATATGATAACCGTGGTAAGCTTATAGCGGATTGATGCGATGAAGTAGACACTGAAGATATGCGATAATCCCGATGGCCCGCACTTTCGATAAGACTTCGCTGTCCATGGGTTAAACATTCGCCGCGTCTCGCTGATGCGGACGGCGCATGACTGCCTTGGGGGCCTAGGGAGCTTCTAACATAGTTGACTCCAGTGTAGCCGAACTCTGAAGATGAACCAAGTAGCGCCCTAGAGGTCGACTGATATGAATGCGACGATTCTGTTTGAGGTAGCAGAACTGATCCCATATTGAATATCTTGTCACTGGAATCACGACATTTGCGCCTATGGTAGTACAAAGCAATGACCTGCAAACTGCAGCCGCCGGACAGAATGATATTAGCAGTTTGTCAGATCGTCATATATTGAGCGCTGCTGTCCTTTTATTGGAATGAGCTATAAGCTAATTCCGCATTCGGGAAATGGCACAGAAAACGGCGGATGCGAAAGCGTTCAGATATGCGGCAACTAATTCCTAACGAGTAGGCCCACAACGCATGCAACAGCGGTCGAATTGCTGTTGTGAGTGTTTTTCTGCGCTAGCAACAAGGGTCTTTGCCACTAATTGTTCATAATGAGGGCTTAAGGGGACGCCGCGGAGGTAGATGGCAATCGCATCGGTGTTCCCGCCAAAGACAGTATAGAGCAAAGTTTAGATTATATAAAAAGGAAAGAAAACGGAAAAGTATTACAGAGTTGTTGAAGTGGCTCGGGCAAGGAAGGAAAAAGCAAACGAAGATCAGGGGTAGCACCAGGTTACCAAGAGAAGATCTGATATGGGCCGAATAATGGGAATGGATCACACAAGATGGATAGAAAGGGGAAAAAGGTGACGGTAATAGTAAGGGTATGTTTTAGAGATTCAAGCAGTCAGAGAAAAAAAGAGACTGGAGTTGGAGGGAGAAGGAAGGAAGCACAGAGCCCCAAAGGCCTGTGACATTGGATCTCAGACTGAGAGGATGGAGTAAGCATCGCGATAAACCCAGTGGCCGTAACTACCTAGAAGGAACCCCCTGGACGACCCACGCTCCCAGGCTTAGTGCAAAGTACTACTCGATACCTTTTGTCATGGATTAATCTGGTCCATGGCAATATATTGTGCAAGAGAGAAAGATACTATGAATAAAATCGATCTCAATAACTTCAGTGACCGGTATTCGTATGAAACTACCGCTTTTTCCTGATCCTGATGCCAAACATGTACCTACTATACTCCGTAGATTTGGGGTAAATGATGGGATAATTGCAGGTGAATGTTTCGCTTATGTAGCTAGACTTGAAACAAGCCTCGAAAAGCATTTAAATAACCAATCAGCATTAAGGAAGCTTCCAACTCTTTGGACGGCATCTCCCTTTCTAGCCTACTAGTACGGAGTAGTACTTAATAGTAGCCCGACTTGTATTCCATACCTCAGTTTAGTACAATTTTAAAACTACTAAGCCACAGTCGCGCGTCATAATCCACTATGGTTGCTTAAAAGAAAACCGAAAGTTGAAACACTCTCTGCGCAAATCAAACAACTAAAGAAAGAATATCGAGATATTTATTATGATATAGTAAATTCGATACTTTAGTGGGCTGCTCGTTCGACTTTCATGCTTATTAAATCTTACACTCCACGACACGATTAATGGAACGAAATCTGGTACACAGCCACTACTCTAATCCTTCAATCCATGCTCATTACTAGATCCCTGAGTAGTTGTTTGGAATCGTCTGCTCGACAATTCGTTCTCACATGTGTGGTACATATCATATAACTCGTGTTCTTGTTGCTGCAATGCACATCTTTGCTGTAACACTTCGAGTAGGCCGTATTTAGTCGAGTTAAGCGACCTTCATGGTACCGCACAAGACATTGAGTCTGACATTGATCTCTGTCGAAGAATGAAATCTGGAACGTGCTGGACATTACGTTGATGCATAATAACCTGGAATCCGTGTATCCTCATTTGCCAAGTTCTCCGAGCATCAGAGTTCGATCAGATGAGCCAGAAACAACTGTAAGAAAAATTAGAATTGCAGACATCTAATACTATGGAAGAAGACTTACTGATGGGTTCGCCGTTCGGCGAGAATCGTACATCATTGACTGTACCCTTATGCCCGGGAAGCTTGTATAGAAGCTTTCCGGTTTTGAAATCCCAGACGACTACGCTCCTGTCACCACTCCCCGCAGCAATCCTTTCACCCTTCGGGTCCCAGCTTGCTCGAACGAGGTTCTTCTCTAGTCCGACAGGAGCGCCGTCGTACGTCTTGATAAGTCGATTTGTTGGCGCAAAAGGTCGGATATCCCATGCGCGTACAGTCGAATCATGAGAATTAGAGAGAAGAGTCTGCGAGTCTGGCGAAATTTCCAATGAGGTGATAGTATCCATGTGCCCCGTCATGGAATAAGTGATAGATTTTTTCCGCAGGTCCCATACATGAATCGCGTTATCAATGCCGCCACTGTAAATTTCGTTACCTGCTTCCGACAAGGCCACTGCTGTAATGGGCAGTTCCGTTTCCAGATATTCGATAGCCTCCTTTTGTCGGGGATCCCAGATTCCCACACAACCATCATCACTGCCACTAACCAACAATTCCTGGCCCCTCTTGCTAATATCTAGACAGTTCACTATTTCCTCGTGGCCCACATGGCGACGTATTCTTTGCCCAGTTTCCAGATCCCAGCTTGCCAGTGTCATATCGGCTGACGCAGAGAAGATCGTTCTTGAGTCGCGAGACCATTGTAGATCAAGGACCGCTCCTCGGTGGCCTGACAAAACACCATAATTTTCACATTGTCCATAGGTATTCCAAAGCACTATAATTCGCGTGGATAATTAGTCGTCATGCGATTGCTTGGCATCAACTAATAGGCGCGACGTACAAATAGACCTATCCATTGAACCGGATGCAATATGCTGCGCGGTAGGGTCGAACCGGACAGTAAAGATTTCACCAGAATGACCTATATTTTAAGTAAACATATAGAACCACCTGAGTAATACGATTTTCATTACCTGTTAGCTCCATAATCGGCGCCTCAAGCCCACTGGTGCGAGGAACCTGCCAGCACGGTCAATAAGGAATCCTCGATACGACTCTGCAAGGTCATCATGAAGAAACGCATACCGCTTGCACAAGTGTTCCATTCTGCGACGAGCTTTTAACCACGGCAGTGCCATTATCCAAGCCAGCGTCGGACTTTTTTCGTTTCACAACGAGCTGACTAGATGACCCAAAAGCTTCTTGGGCAGGTCGTTTTTCTCCAGACATGTTACTGAGATGATCTGGGGATTGCTGGCCCAACGACGATTTACAGAAACTTGCAATGAGAAAAGGCTCTGGGCTGTACAGGACAAGTTGTGGATAGATAGCAATTGACTGCTAGAAAACTGGTATTAGGGGAGCCTCGTCAGGATCGGAGTACGCTCATCTTTTCCGCCCGCCAGTAGTTCTACGCAAGCGCTGAACACCCAACAGGTTAGCCGCGATAGGCGCCGGTCCACTATGCGCTCCGCCCATACCCCGTCGATCCACCGACTCGGGCGGGGAGGAATACTGTGTATCCATCAACAACATTTTGATAGCTGCTGGGCATGCCTGTTGCCGTATTACGTCTTCTTTCAAACTGTGCATTAGTTCTTCGAGAATCTACAGAACTGAAGTTGTAAACGAGAATGTCTACCACAAAAGCCTCGAGGATCGGTGAAGAGTAAGTTGTTTGTTGATGATATTGATTCGTGATGTTCTCATTAACAGCATACGGTGTAGGCTATGGAAGTCAGTAAGCTGAGTGATGTTTCCAACCTGTCGAATGTTATACTGGATTGCATCTAGCAAAACAAGCGCGAAGTCGTTTGCGACTAACATGATACAACATTTTTAGAACGAGGGTTGACAAAGTCAATGCGGAGTTAGTCACATTGACTTATGGTACAATTGTTGCACAATTATGTCAGGACTATGACTCAAACTACCAGGAAGTGAACAAACAATTAGACAAGATGGGCTACAATATTGGTATGCGACTTATCGAAGACTTTCTGGCAAAGTCGGGCGTCGGCCGATGTTCCAACTTCCGGGAAACAGCAGACATGATCGCAAAAGTACGATCTAAACCTATCATATGCCAAACATCTACCCCCAGACCATGTGACTGACAGATGCTTGAATAGGTCGGGTTCAAGATCTTTCTTAACATCTCGCCTACCGTAACGAATTGGACCAGCGATAATAATCAGTTCTCTCTTGTCTTCGACGAAAATCCGCTAGCCGACTTTGTCGAGTTGCCAGATGATGGAAGGGCGCAGGATGAGCTGTGGTTTTCTAATATTCTGTGTGGTGTCCTGCGAGGTGCTTTGGAGATGGTAAGTAAACTAAGCTGCAAAATTTTCTGCATCGTTGGTCTACACTCCACCAGGGCTCACATATTCTGGTGTATCTTTCTAGGTTCAAATGCAGGTCGAAGCGCATTTCGTTAGCGATGTGTTGCGGGGTGATGATACTACAGAAATGCGGGTATCTCTGGTTAGATATATTGAAGATGAAATGCCACCGGAGGAGGAGTAACAAGCATATGGAAAACAAGAATGCTGTAGAGGGTTGTGGCGTACGGTGTTTGGGATTCGATGGCCTCTGTTCTTAACTAAATTATAGCTTTTCTTGTCATTAGTAGGTATCTGCAACCTATTTGTACAAGACGTTGACTTTGATGATTAGCCCTACAATGTTGGTGTGTTGGCTATATTCTAGTACCCAACCATCAAAGTTGGCGTTTCGGTAGAACGATAGAACATAGGGGCATGGAATGAGCCATGATCACACACCTTGTTTTTGTCGCTCTTGTGAATAAGGTACAAATAGTATGATTTATGAAGTGAGGGTTACAGATCACATTTGGCTAGCCTGCATAATAACCTGTGTTTTCAGGGGCCGTTATGAACATAAATTCGCTGATTCAATGATAGATGATAACTATAGTCAAGGAGTTTTCAGAAATAAAGGACTGTATACAGCATTCCGAAGGAGGATCCAACCGACCGAATCGGGAAAAAAAGGAAATGGGGGTTTTAAACCAATTATCGTCTCATCTTACAAGCAACAAATGCGAGAATGGCATGGTAAGAGCCAGTGTTGGTCTGCCACATCATGTTTAACAGTAAGGTTTCAAGGCTGTAATCAATTTCAGAGACATGTAAATCAGGGGGTTGACCAGTCTATTAGGACAACAAGCGTGTCACAAATTGGTAAGCGTTAGATTGTTGAATGAAGGCCATTGCCATTATGAAACATGGAGATTAACTAGGATCTCCATACAGAGTTAATAATATCCAGAACTAAATGATCGCCCTTATCGAACTTTATGCTAAGTCATCAAGTTATAGTGGCCTCTTTATATTTACGGAGAAATCAACAGAAAGCAGACATATGCAATATCCGGAGGCATACAGACCAATGCAAATCGGATGCTGACACGGTCTGGTTGACCGATATTACCACGCCCCCAAACTACTAGTACACTGATCTGATTCTCTTGTAGTCTGGGGGATGAGCAGATCTGCAAAGGAAATTCTAATCTGCTGGGTCAAGGCACGTGACTGTGATAGAAAGTACGCTAGTCCGCCGACCCTGAGTTGTTCTCAATCCTTGTACTCCGTATGTATGTATGTATGTATGTATCTATCAGTATCTTCAATGTTTCGATCTCTACACGTCGAAACCGGCGGTTCTTCTTTATAGTAATTGTTTTTGTCCCCTCTATCACCTCAAACCAATGGCTCTGGGGAATGCATTCAGGTAGTTATCGGCCTTTTTTCACGTAATTTCTCAATTGTGTGTCTATCCCTTCGCTGTGGAATATTGTAACCCACGACTCGTCTCTATACTCTCCGAATTACACCACCTCAGATCGGGTCAACAATTCTGCGCCTGCTCTTCAAATCAATACCAAGATACTCTATCTACCTTGCCTATCATATTTATTTCCTTTTCTCTCTCTATCTTTCCCTCTTTCTTTTCCCTGTTTTTTAACGCCATAATATTTTAAAGCCCTGTACACTTCACATTCCTGCAGATTTGCAAAGAATTTTTTTACCAGAGTCATTGCTTTGATTTTCATTCCCTATACCTTTTCATTTATCCTTAGGCTTCCCTCTGCATAGTGGTAAGTATGTAATTTTCCTTTGCCCTTTCTATCAATATTTTTTGCCGCCTCCATAAAGTAGAATTGCATGCTCAGAAATACGCGAGACAATAGCATCTCCCAGCCCTCCCGCCGTGTTCCGGGATAGATAATCCGCGCCGAACAAGCGATTCACGCCCAGTCCGCAGTGATTGAACAGCCCAGCACTCCAGGCACCGCGCCTGATATCCACGTCCTCCCACCCACCAGAACACCTCAGATCCACCGCTACACCTTGTCCTGACCTTCGCCTCTCATCCCTCCCACCCCCCCTCCACCATTACTTCCTCTAATCTGACCGGATCTGTCCGTGTCTCCTCTTTCCTTTTTCTGCAGGGGGATTTGAGATCTTTAATTTTTCATCGTCTGGTATTCTTTGTTTCTTTCCTCTTAGTCTGGCTGGTCGGACTTGGACTGGCTTGTCCTCTCCTAAACGCCGTTCCCGTCTTTCTGCTTGTCGCCGCCCACACCCCCCGGTTGATCCTACCGCGCATTTTTCTCTCGGCTGGATATCTTGACAGACCATATACTTCCTCGTTAATATCTTCATGACCATTCATTACGCTCTTCATATTCTACAATCAGCGTGCTCTATTGCTTCTACCCGCGCGTAGAAGTAACGGCAGATTCTTCCTGCTTGCCTTTGCTCCTGAGCCAGCCACGCTTATTTTCCCTTGTGAGTATTCTTCGCAATACTTGTTCTGTGTTGTCATTCAATAAGTGGAACCATACTCAACGCTTGTCAATTCAGAAAGTTGCTTGGGCGCGCCCTTACCCAAATTTGACCCTAAAGCCGCTTTTTTGTCCATTGCGCATCGGCATTTAATTACAAATTCGTCACTCACCTGGTTGGAAGCATCGGTCATATCGTCTGATTGTCTTCCCTTTTTCTTTCCCCCGTCTTGATCGCCACGCGCCCCTCGCCTTATCTTGTGGTGAGCTTCCTCGCCGCGAGACGGTGGATGCGCGTTAAACCAATCTATCGCCGACGCCCTTGATCGACGACAAGAAATAGGTGAGGGTGGCTGAGCCCCTTGGAGTGCTACTATGAGTCAGATGAATGTAGCTGGGATGAACCCCGGGGCCGGGGGCCCCGTGGGAGGGGTCCCCATGATCAATAATGGTTCGACGGCTCCTCGTAACGATGGAAATTTGAACAATATCCCTGAGTTGATGATTAACAACCTCAATACATATATCTATGATTATCTGTTGAAGCGCGGCCATCACGAGTGTGCTAGGGCTTTTGTGAAGGACGAGTCGATCAAAATGAGCACCGAGCCGCCTATAAAGTCAAGCCCAGGTCACCGTCGCGATGGCGAGGTGAATGGTGTCGATGGTGATGCGATGATGACAGATAGCAAGGACGGTGACAAAATGAAAATACCTGATGACTTGCCACGGCCAAATCTCCCTAGCGAAGGCCAGCAATCGTCTTTTCTCTTGGATTGGTTCAGCCTCTTTTGGGATTTTTTCTGGGCCCAGCGCAAGAGAGGGAACAGCAATGATGTGAGACAGTACCTTCAACATACTCAGGTACAGACCCTTGCACTGTTTGACGAAGGTCTGAGTTTCTTCTAATATGTATAGAACATGTTGCGCTTCCGAGAACAACAGCACAATCAACTACTACGACAACAGCCAATGATGCCCGCCCAGATGCAACAGCTCAATCTTCGCCGAAATGGATCTGTTGCGCCCAACCTTCAGAAGACCGTTTTACAAAACAATACTTCAGGCCTGTACGCTTTCCTTGGAATCCAATGCTCGCTCCTAACAATAGCAAGTGACGTAGTGCTAATTTAATTCAATAGCTCCCAGCAACAGCTTGCCCAGCTCCATAAAACGCAGCAAGTGCAGATGATCCAACAGATGCAGAGAGAACACTCGGATATGGACATGAACGGCCATCGCCCTCAGTCCCCGTCTTCCGCAGAAAACGCCCCGTCGCCATCGAAACGGCCCCGCCTCGAAGGTGGACACATGAACGGACAGCAACTAGCCCCCAACGGACGGGGTCAAGGACAGGGCATGCCCGGTCAGCCGAATCCGCAAGCGCTTTTAATGCAAAACGGTCTCAATCCGCGGCCGATGAATCCGGCCCAATTCCAGGCTTTCCAGCAGTCGGGCCCTGCTGCGCAGCAGAAGTCAATCCAGGTATATGCTCAAAATTTAGCTCTTCACCACTCTCGCTCAGCAATGAATAACCAGGGCATGCCGAATGGTGGTTTGATAAATCCCGGTGTCATGCCAAACCAGACGGATCTGGTGCCATTGCCAGATGGCCAGGGTATGTACCCGATGAACGGCGATTACTATCCACCAAATGGTCAGATGGCCCAGGTTCGGGCTGGAATGCAGACACCTGGCGGTCAGCATGGGAATCATGCTCTCCAGGATTATCAAATGCAGCTTATGTTGCTTGAACAACAGAATAAGCGGCGCTTGATGATGGCTCGTCAAGAGCAGGATAGCATGGCCCGTCCTGACGGCCAGCCCCCAATGCCAGGGCAGCAGGCTTTGCCACCAGGCACCTCTCCCCAAGGCAGCAGGGCGGGCACGTCCCCCAACCCGAACGACCAGATGAAACGAGGCACACCGAAGATGCCTCAGACCGGACTCCCTGGTTCCCCCAGCGGCGGTGACGCAATGGCCCAGGGTCGTGGATCGCCTGCGTCAATGAATTTCAACGGTGGCCAGATGCCACCTGAGATGGGCGGCGCGTTCTTCATGAAAGGCATGCAAGATGGCATGGCAGGCCCCAATGGTATGCGGCCTCCGAGCTCGAATCCCGCTTTCAGTGGCCCTCAAATGGGTCAGCCGATCCTGCGGGCACTGGAAACCGGGTGCCGAGCGGAGGCTGGCCACCACAGCAAGGTACTCAGGGCCAACCGATGGCGCCGCAACAGTCCCCGCGACCAAACTACCGGAACGCCTCAAGAGCGCAACGCAATGCCTCCCCCTCAGGCCCCCCCCGCTGCGGGTGCTAATACCGGTCGAACGCAGCCTCCGTCCCCTCAAACAGCACCCGCTCCACCTACGCCACAACAAGCCAATAAGCCCGCCCCGAAGAAAAAAGAGACCAAAGATAACCGGAAGGTAAGAGATACTTGGATTCTTCTTTCATGTTGGAGTTTTTTGCGCTGTGTCTAAATATGTTTCTAGCGGACTTCAAAGAAGGCGACCACTGCCGCAGCAGCCGCAAACACTGCGGCCACTCCCTCCTCCGAAGCCGAGCATCCTCCGACTCCTACGCCATCGACACCAATTACGCCCCAACACCCCAATTCGTTCAACAAGGCCGGCGCAAATGCAACGTCGAGTGCTCCACAGCAGCCAACGTCTGCACCTGCACCTCAACCGCTCGTACAACCACCGCCGCCGCCACCACCGGATCAAAGTCAACAGCCATTTAATGACCTGAGTATCCCAGATGTATGTTGTTATTAAGGCTTTAATTTCTTAACGTCTCACTAATCGAGCATATAGGCCTCTGCCTTCAATCTTGATTTCAGCGCTCTGGAAAACCCGGATATCTTGGAGAATTTTGACTTCGACACGTTTCTCAATACGGATGCGGATACGGCCGGGTTTGGGTTCGATCCGAACATATCATACCCGACAGATGGGGTTGAGACCGGTGCCGGAGATGGCTTGTAAAGGAGTCCAACGGATATTTCGTTCTTATCTCTCATATACCCTTCCTTGCTCTGTACATTCCTAAATTTTGGCTTGTGCTATTCGGTTTTTGTTCAATTCCCCTCTTTCTCATATGCTTCAACTTTTCTCTTTAGTGTGTCTCTGTCGACATGACTTGGATATGTGCCGTGAGATTGGCGTTAAGTGTATCCGTTATTGCATGTCTTTCATTTTTTAACCGAGTCGCGATTGACCTTGAGATGGATTCCACTTGTATTCAAGCTGCGTTATTGTGACATCTGTGCCATTCGATTCTTTTTCTTTTATTACTACTATATCTATTATTTGGTTAATCTTTGTCTTTAAGCTCCCAGGGCCGACGTCGAGTGATCTTGCTCTAGTGTTAGTTGTGCTCTTATAATGCTCAAGGCTCAACAGGCATATCAACTTTCCAAAGCCCTTCCACCCCTTTCATTTCCCCTATTTCCTTTGTCTTGTGATTATGGCGTTATCGTTAAGGTCCTCCTTTGTTGTCTAAGTCATCAGTGACTCCTCTCCGGGGTATGGGTTTATGAATTGAGAAAAGATACTTAACGCCTTCGAATATTCCATCGGTATGTCGTCTGCCGCTATCTTATCCAGATCCCTCTTCCTTGCTTTAGGGTCGGGGGAAAGAAGAAAACAAGGCAAAATCCAGCATGAGATGGTCCAGAATGTACTGCTGCCGCTGGTACTGGTTATGAAAGATAGAGAGACTGAGATTTTCCTTTCTGTTCTGGATATTGCTTTATGCACTTTTAGCAAGTTTCATAACTGACTTTCTTCTCTCCAAACAAAGTAAAAGTTTGAGCTGTACTCGGTACATAGGTTCATTGTGCTCGTGGCGCCCATTATAATTTTGATTGATCATTTGAAACCTCCTTTCTCTTTACAAGTTTGGGTGTAAGCAGAACGTGTCACTCATTTGAAATACACAAACTCAGAGGCAAAATAGTTGTTCCCAACGTAGTTGGTTACCGTCAGTTTTTTCATTAGACCAATCCACCAATATGTAGATAACTGTCCATACCGTGTTCGGACCTGGTCATGTCTTCTTCTACCAATTGTATCAAAGCTCCAACCGGAGCAAGCCTGCAATTAGCTACAGAAATTTTGTTAGAGCTCCGGGCCCTTGTTCGCTAACCCTGGAGCTTGACTTAATTTAAGTAATCTATACCTTGCACTTATCATGCATACTCTGGTTAGACATTCCGCTACACAAACGTATCTACATATGACTTGTTAGCTACCTCAAGAATTGCACCTTACACCTGTTTTCTTACCCCGTGAGATCTCTAGCCAATATAATTCTTGAATTCCTCTAACAAGTCCAACCTCCTAATGAATATTGATTGAATCAACATATTACTCAGGGGCGGGCAGTGCAGATATTATTTTACAGAGAATGTAGCGCCCTGAAGGGTGTTCTGTGCGTAACTAGTGGAATAATCATCTGTGAGTGAGTGAGTGAACTAAAACCTGCGAGGATATTCTTAGAAGACAAGCAAAGTAGCAGCAAACGACAGAGAGAAAGACAGAAATAAGAAAAAGAAAGAAAAGAAGAAGAGAAGAAACATCAACTCTGGGGGGCGCGCTCATAGAAGTTTTGATGAAAGCTCAAGTATAGAAATTAGTCAATCTCAGCCACCTCGACTACAGAACCTGCACGGTGGCTTCCTGGTCCAAGAAGTTCTTCGAGGCCAACCCGTCGGAGAAGGTCATCTGTTTCAGACAACTCTTGTGCTGGAGAAAGCAGAGTTGGCTCTCCTTTGGAAAAACTGAGACTTTCCCTGCGAGCAGAACCTGTGGACCGTCTTCTTCTACATCCAGTCGGAGTCTCTAAGTTCCCACTGGTACGCACGGCTGTCTTGGACCCAGTATGGTGGACCTTGTCACTTTCTCTTCGCGGAGTTTCCACTATGATCTCGTTTTCCTTCTTATCCGACACCATCCCCTCCTTCCTGCCTTTAATCTGGACATTTAGGCCGACAGGGAGCTTGCTCGTTGCTGCGGTATCAGTAGCAGGCTCGGCAGACAGGTTGGATTTAGCACTGGCTTCCGAGACGTCTCTAGTACCTAGATGCGATTTATCCTTTGGAAGCGATCCTCTGTTCCCGTTGTTAATAATATAGGATGCTGACCGCGCTTCAGCTGCAACAGAGAGCTTCCGACTTATAGGTAATGTGGCGGAAGGCGTGTTTGTGGGCGCTTTTGTACCACAGGACAGGGGCTTTGGAGGACTTAGGACCTCAAAAAGTTGGTTATAGGACTCCTCGTCAATAGGGGAAATGATGCTTGGGTGTTTGCTATGCTCGTAGCTAATGCCAGTCATGTGTGAGATAGCTCGACTACTGGTTGAACTTGAAACATAGTCGGGCATAGATACATCCTCCGAAGAGGGTCTTGCACCTCGATGGCGTGCGGAAGGATCAAGCACATAAGGGTCGATGAAAGGATCCGGCATAAGTTGTTCCTGTTGGGGCCATCGTGATTCTCGGAGACTGCCTTGCATTTGGGGAATAGGCCCTTGATAGTTTCGGTATGTCCAAGCGCCGTGTGCTGCTGGGTTGCTGATTTGGCTGCTTGTGGTCGCTAACTGTCGAATACCATGTCGGGTGGGCGAGTGGGCATGCGTGTCCTCTGGCTCTTTCAAGTCACTAAGCTCACCTCTAGAGTTGTATTTGAATAGACGAGGTTCTCGGCTCCACATGGAGGCATTAGGCCAAGCAATACTGGAATACTCCAATACCTCTGTGGCTTGTTAGATACGTTTGCCCAACTTGGAAGAAACTAAAGGGTGCAGAGGGTCATGGGCAACTCACGCAAAGGTGCATGCTGAAAAGCAAAAGCAACTACTTCTTTAACACGCTCAAAAGGTGGGTTGCGATGTGGCCGAGCAAAGCCTTCAGAGATCACTATCCTAATTCTACCATAAAGCTCACCAGCGTCCCAGTGCTGTTGCTCTAAAATCTCCTGGTGAAATGGCGGGAAACGCAGGTTATCCTGATTTCCGCTCTTGTCGATATCTAGCGAAATATTGTTTCAGCAGTTGTAACCTTCACACAGGGTATTCAGGGGAACAGCATACTTGAACTTAGATCTAGATCAATTTCATTGATCAGAAAAACTGGCTCACAGGAGGCGGTGGATTTGCTTCGCAGGCATGGTCTACTTACCAATGACATGGGGCCAATTAGTCCTCTGGCCAAAGACGCTACCACTATGCAAGTTGACTCATTTTATTAGCTTCCATTCAATGACTGTTTGCTATCAAGCCTGGAACTCACGAGACAAAAAGACCATCAATGAAAATCCGGACTTCAAAAAGCAAGGCATCATCGGGTTGCAGCAGGCTCTCCATCAGCCGACTAGGCCGAGGCCTCTCCCAGCTATGAACCGACACCCGAAACGGAGTATTCGGCGATACACTTGGGATGAAAGTTGTGAGCACAGGTAGCAGACCCATGTTTCCTTGAGGGAGGCAATACGGCGCCGGATTGACGAGAGCAGGACTGTGCAGATAAGGGGATCCTGCCGGCCGAAGATTATTAGCATGTAGTCTGTATAGCTCATTGATATTGTACGTACCTCTATCTTTGATCACAAAGCATTGTGTCTTGAACTCTTGAATTGGCACTTTGGAATTCTCAGGGAAGAGAAGCACATCCCAACTCTCGTAACGCATCCTGTGTCACATACAATGTTTCCTTTGCCGTGTGATAAAATGAGGAACAAAGGATCTTGAGATGTTGGTAGAGAATATCAGAGGTAAGGAAACCGCATTGAATAAATTGGGGGCTAACGAGCAAGTGAGGGAGTAGTCAAGCCTGTTGAAGAGACGATTGATGGGTGAAGTGGTAAAAGATGTCGAGCCCGATATCAACGTCCCAAGGCTCCTTCCATATTTGGCGCTGTATAAGGCATGTCTGGGTGAGACAGGGGTGGGCAGGAACGAGTGAAGGGACGTTAATCAATTGAACATGGAGAATGACTGGCGGGTTTCTCAAGATGTTGTTTTACGCTCGATCACAATCACCCCAAGACTGAACGAAATTAGACAGACTAAATTGTGCATAGGTCGATTATAAAGCGAGATTAGGAACAAAAGCCCCGTTCAGTTGGGTAGCCTGGCCATCTAGTAACATATACACGATCGAGGCCCATGGTCTTGCGATTATTCGACTCCAAGCGTGGTCAGCATCGCAGGGAAGGGCATGAATTAACATATAGATGCGACAGCTCACTGCGTAGCGAAAGGGGGAATCATCCGTAAAGAGACTGAAATACAAATTGGCCAGATGCACCTGGGACGCGCCAAGGATAGAGAACAAAGAAAACGCGAATTTACGTAGGATGGATCATAAATACGAGAACGCCCAGATCATAGTCACGATGTCACAGATTGCCACCAACGTCCGAGAAAACATGCAGCGTAGCCTTCAACTGAAGATCCACCAGGGTAGGTAGAACAGCCGTCAGCCTTGTTCCAGCTCCAGTAGCTACAATAACGAAGATTCAGAAAAGAGAGAGGACCCAACCCCAGATGATGACACTCCAGATGCAGCAGCGAGAGCAGGCGAACAGACGAGCCAGAGAATAGGTCGCCTTAACCACAAAAGACAGACACTGAACGAGCGAGAACGCATTGGACTCCATAAAGTGAACTGCACTTAGGAAAGAAGATGTTGAAGGGAAACAGTGTTGTACAGACCGCCATTCTAGCAGAAAGCAAGACGCAACATCCTCATAGGGAAACATAATTCAATTTGACTGCTTCATGAGAAAAGGCTCGAGAATAGGAACTTTTCGCAGAATGCCTGCCCAAGGATATAAGGGGAAAGACACGCACCAACGAATCGATCAGGTGTCATACGCATAAGGTGGGCCTAGGACCACAAACGTAATAGAAAGGCAAAGGGGGCATTTGGAAAAGGAGAACGTAAACGAATTCGGAAGGGGTTTGTTGAACAAGGCATCAAGAAGAAAAAATAGCAGGATAGTTTGTGAAATAAGAGCTCAAATCTTGCTAACAAAAAAGTGGAAAGGAAATGAAAAAGCGCTCAGATGTAATGAAATACGTAGCACAGGAGAAAATGCCCATCCAGAGCTATAGAAGGGAGCTTTCGCAGAGATAGATAGCAGACTTGTTATAACACAAAAGACCCATCATTGAAATGACGCAAAACTCCTGCTGTGGCTTTCAAAAAAAGGAACGCTTTTTTTTACTAGATATTTTCGTTAACAATCTAGCTTGCACTAGGTACCGCGGAGTCTCATGCAGTAGCTTCAGGGTCACCAACCTTCATAGGCGCAAAGCCGCCATACTGGTGGGCAGGGGGCATGCCCATAGAAGGGTACATGGGAGGCGGAGGAGGAGCTGGGCGGTAAGGGCTTCCGGCGGGACCGGAGTTGTTCTGAGAGCGGCCCCAGCTCAGACGCACACGCGAGTTGCCGATGGGGTAACCCTGCATCTGGTTGATGGCCATCTCAGCGGCATGGCGCTGAACGAACTGGACGAAACCACAGCCCTTTCCGGGAGGGATCTTGACATAAGTGATCTCACCGAATCCCTGGAAGAAAGACCGAAGCTCATCCTCGGTGACATAGCCGGAAAGTCCACCAACGAAGACAGTTGTGTTGTTGGGGTCAGTGAACTGGTTCATGGGCTGAGGAGCACCGTAGAAGCCCATGGGAGGAGCACCCATGGGAGGGTACATTCCCGCGGGACCGGGCATGCCCATACCGCCGGGAACGACACCAGGACCCTTGTTCTTGGGAGTAGCGGTGGAGATACGCATAGGACGGTTGCCGCAGTAGACTCCCTGCATCTCACTCAGAGCACGCTGCTGGTCATTCTCATCGGAGAAACGAACGAAGCCGTAGCCACGAGACATGCCGCTAATCGGGTCGGTCATAATCTTGGCGGACTTGCAAGATGGGAAGCGGCTCTGGAAGAGGGACACGAGTACATACTCGTTGACCTCAGGGCCCAAATCACCAACAAAGATGGAGTACTCGGGGCCACGGTCATCACGGCTGGAAACAGCGGTTGTCAGTTCATGCTGGGTACTTTTGAATTCGTTTTTGAGCTTCTTACCTGCGGTCAGCGAGGCCACCACCAGTGGCCCAGTTCAGCTTGAAGAGGCGGTTGGTGTTAGGCATAGGAGTGCCGTTCAACGACAGAGCCTTAGCGGCGGCAGCGGGAGAGGAGAAGTCGACGAAGCAGTAGCCGGCATTGCTCCTACTACCAACATTAGGATCACCTACAAAACATCTTCTGAGATTACTGTGTACTCACCCAGAGAACTTGTCGCGGATCATCTTAACATTGACCTGCTCGCCCATCTGGAACCAGAGGTTGCGGACGAAGTTCTCGTCGATCCAGGGCTCAAGCTCACCCATCCTGAAGTGTACTGTCAGATACATTGTTCCAAGCCAAGGAGCAAAGGTGGGGAGGGGTTGCGCTTGACAGATATCACGTACCAGAGAGTGGTCTTGCCCTCCTGAGCGGGCTGAACGGGAGCGGCCGTTGGCTCGCCAGGAGCAGGGCCCTGGAATTGGGCGGCGGTAGGGTCGGCCTGGCCGGCCATGGTATCCGCAGTAGCAGGTGCGCCGGGGGCAGCAGCGGCAGCGTCGGCCGCTGGGTGCTGGTTTTGGAACGATTCGAAGTTCTGGAATGACATATTGACGTGAATCCGAGTTCGTAACTATAACGGTATCTGTAAAAATAAACCAAGTCAATTAGATTTTTTCGACCGAGACCAAGCACTCCAGCATTTGTAACACCTCTATCTTGAATTGTGCCTCTCGGTGGACAGGAAGATTTTTGCGCATACCTCAAATTTCAGGCAAAGGAGTAGAAACCTAAACAACAAAAAAACTTTTCTATCCCGAAAACGGTCCGTGCGAGTGGAATTTCGTTGGAATCGTCAAGGAAAGAAGGGTATGATCGTTCAAGTGGAAATGACAAAAGAGTAATTCCACTTCCTAAGTAAAGTTCAAGAGCTGGTTAGCGGTCCTGTGAGGAGCATAATTTGACCTTGAGACAAGATAGTGAAGGGAGGCTATGATAACGGAACAGGGAGAGAAGGCACGAGTGAGAAAATTTTAGAGGCGCAACCCAAGTGAATAGAGCGATGAAGCAGTTCCAGTGAAATATCTTCAAGTGCGACAGTGAAATGAATAATATCAAAAGTGATTAGAACAAAAGGTGTGCGTTTGGTGTAGTGTCCCGGGAGGGTTTGGTTCATGGAAGTTGGAAATAAACGATGCAATTGTTTCAGCCTTGCTTGCCAAGACTTATCTTCCAACGGACAAGGGAGCTTTCCAAGATGTAACGGAAGACTCGGAAGTCGTGCAGTCTAACGACAGGGCAAATGGAAGTCGGAGAACTTTAGGTCCAAGTCGAAGTAAGAGAGTAGCCATGGTCCACATATTCACTCGGTCGAAACCGCATTCGTCGATGTGATTCCAGATCCGTCGGCACCGATTGCGACCGTCCCAACCAGTTCCATCATTGAGGGTGTTCTTTCATCCGGAAAACAAACCGCGCAACAACGAAACTATATACTCGACATTCAAGCTTGGAGATACAAGATCGAGCTCGTTGGGTGTTGCACTTTAGCGACCGTCCAGACCTCGTCGGATGCTAGGCAAGGCGAAAGAGAACGATCGGTTGGCGCATGGTCGCTAATGGTACCAAAATGACCGGTTGATGAGGCAGAACGTGATGGCAGTATATTCGAAGAGCAATGGCTTAGGCAATTATTCTTCGTCTCTTCGGTAAGTAGATACCACTCCTAGGGAAGGCGTTCCATGATCCCTGAAGCGCACCAACTCGCAAGGCAATGACGCAAGTCTCTTCCACATCGCACCAAGAACCAATCCCTCGGGGGTGAAGCTAGATGGAAAGGGAAAGGAAAAGAAAGAAGAGAGAGAGAGAGAGAGAGAGAAACGAACATTCAAAAGGCTAGAAGAAGGGCAAGAAGATAAATTACTTACTAGGTGATATAAAACAAAGGCAACCTTGGAAAATAACTTTCACAAGAGGGAATATAAAATGCGTTGCTCTGGAATGGCGCAAGAAAAATATGCGTTAAGACGTAAAACGAACCCAGGAACTGGAGGAATCGAGACAACTCCCGCGAGGTGGAGAAGAAAAAAGTAAGAAACTAAGAGATAGAAAAGGCACAAGGAGTTCGTAACAGAACTATCCGCAAACCGACTCCGTCTTTTCCGACAAGAACAAGGAACGGGGGAAGGAAGGTGAAGAGGAATATGAAAAGGAAAAGAAGAAGAGGGGTAGACGAAGCAGCAAATATTCTTCAGAAATGGAGGGGAAGGGGAGGAGAAGAAGGGAGGGAAGGGAAAGGAAAAGAGGGAAAGGAAGAAATGGAAGAATAATGGAAAATGGAGATGCTAGTACTAGGGCAGGACCAAAGGACGGCAGAATTACCTTAGACGAACGAACAGAAATCAAAGGTAGTCATTAAAAAAAAATTTAAAAAAGAAAACCAAATAATGTAGAACGACCACACAAGAGCCCTGAGCGAGTCACTAAACTGTGAGGAGAGAAGAAAATGAGGGGCGCAGTGCTACCAGGGTGGGTCGAAGGTTTGCCGACTGTTCAAGGGAAAAAAAAATTTTATTTTAATTTTTTAGTTTTTTCTTTTGGGATGGAGGGCTTTTTAATTTTGTCTTGATTTTTATTTCAGCTTGAATGACCGGCTCAACAGAAGTAATTAAACCGGGACTGGTCCTTCGTACATCTGGATTAAAATCTTTTTCTTGGGTGACATTAGTCCTCTTTGTCCGAAGCTGGCAGTTTACTATCAAGTAAGGATGGATACTTTCGAAACTCTTCCAATGTTTGGTGAAATCATGCCTAGCTTGCAGTATATTTGATTAGAATCGTCATAAATTGGAGGTCTACCAGGATGGGCTCTTACCCAAGGACTAATTCATACTCAATGAATGAATGTATGGAGAAGGGAGACCTAGATCCATGATGAAATGGTCCACCCGATACAGGTACCATACCCTATGATTCATTACAATCGGAACCACTTTAAACCCAAAAGACTGCTGCATACTGCGCCTTAACTAGTATGGTAGTCCGTAGCTCACCCGACACGATCTCTTTAATTCCTCCGCATGCATCTGAACAATACAGGAAATCCTCAGGAGCCCTCTCTCATTTACGATGCATTCAGACAAGGATCGGTAGCAGATCTCGGGGAAGTATCAGGAAAGCTAAAGTTCCCTGGCTTCCCACCTCATTGGGTCCCTACTAGGTAGTAATAGCCCGACGTATGTATGTATTTGGACATACATTGGGGTACAGATATACATTATCTTACCATTTCGTATAGACCAGTAGTAGAGGAGTACTTGCCGTGCCTAGGTACATAGTATGTACATACACTGTCCATGATAACATCATACTTAGGCGGACCCACGGTAACTGCAACCCATGTCCATGAAACCTGTCATAGTATACTCCGTACAAAGAGCTTTAATAATGCAAGCAAGACTCCCATCTCAATGACCCATGCGGTTTGTCTCTCTCCCCCTTTCTTTCTTCTCTTATGCAGGGAGGAGCAAGAAACAACCCAACCGTGCGGTATGCAACGATCCTCAAGGAAGCAAGGAAGCAATAATACCCACACACGCAGACGCTAAGCGGGCAGAATTCGTTCAATTAATCAAATGGAATTATAAACCTGGCTTCGCTGCACGAAATCTGCAAGGACCTGAGTGATGCACATGCAGAGGGACTCCAAACTGCTAGTGGTCGTGAGCTCTCTCTTTTCCTTTTTCTTTTTCTTTTTATTTTATTTTTATTTTTTTTTTTCCTTTTCTCCATTCCGTCCTTGGCCTGTGACTCGTCGAGTTCCATTCGCGTCCATGGGCCTTCGTCATAGCCGTGTGTCTCCGCTGGGGTTGTTGACCTTGCTCAGTGGGCATTCATTCGCAGATCGGTTTCCGTTCGCAGCCACACCGGTTGTCCGGGTCGTCCTCTGAGAGGCTTGAAAGAAGCTCAGAAGACAGTGACTCGAGTCTGCTTTACATCGTGCCAATGCCGGAAATTAGTGGTAAAGGACTAAATTCAAAATCAAAAAAAAAAAAAAAAAAAGAAAAAATCGATCATAAAGTCAACAAACCGAAAAAAGATAGCCTGATTTAAGGAAAGAAAGGGAAAAAATACATCGACCCCACCAATGCTTCCGAAACCATGGGATCGTGGAGCTCTGGACAATAACGGTCGAAAAGCAGTACAGGACTACGGAGGACGAGCTTCGAAGAGCCAACCCAAGATTATGCTATAATGCAATGTGCTATAGTCATTTTGGCCAACACGCTAAAAACTAGGGCAACTTTGCCTTGAAAGCTGTTTCTATTGTTACTTATAGCGGAGATGGTCCAAGCTGTCCATGACTCCATAATCACAATCCACAGACTAGGCACCACAAGGGCTGATTCAAAAAAGGCCTGAAGATCACAAAACAACAATTTCTCCCAGGATTGACTATACAATACAAAGGGCATCCGTGTAGACCTCTCTCTCAATCTTTTTTTACCCCCCTCTTTTTCTTCTTTGCCTGGTATGAGAAATCACCCATCCCAAACCAAGACTAAAAAAGCCCACCGACAATCAGAACCATGGAATCTATGGCATTGCCAATCCTATTGGATGGAGCAGTTGAACCGGCGTGGTTCGTAATTTTTAACATTAGCCAACAACTATCAGGGAATCTCAGCCTAGAGGCCCTAGACAAGTCCAGTTGGGTAAGGTACCTTACTCCATTCGTATCTACAATGGAAATAATGCATCTCATTGATCTAATTCAATTCGATGGGGGGCGGGATTCTCCACGAGATGGCAGAGATTTTCTCTCAGCCTCGTGAGGTGGAATTTCTTTTTTCTTTTTCTTTTTTTCTTCATTGGATTTTGATCCATTTCATTTCACTTTTCTAAATTAGGATTTAGCTTGTTCAAACGGTTGAGACTGATTATGACGGCAAGAGGTAGGGTACCAAAAGCTAAACCCATTGCCTGACTGGACAGTACCTGCCCTGATCTTCAAGGTATGTACGCGTACGCGACGCGATTAACTAACCTATCAAGTTTGATACATGTGCCTTGCTTGAGTAATTTCAGAGGGAAGAAAAAATAACAAGAAGAATAAAGAGTAAGCCCTTTATGTTCAGAGGTCTCAGTGTAAATACCTTACACTACAACTTCTACTTACTGCATATACTAGTACCTATGTATGTACTGTATATATGTATCGATGCATGCCGTCATTGTTGGTTTCGGCACGGGAGTATCAGAACTGTCTCGGGATAACACGAAACCCAAAACAAAAGAGAAACACCTCTGGCATGAGTAAGGGATAAAGATTTAGGTACCCTGGGTCCCTCGAGGTGTATCGTAAGATGAATGAACTCATACAAGAGGTATCGTTCCCTTGCGTTCAGAACATCCGACTGAACCTTCGTCATGGTATGTGGAGAGACAAGATGTAGGTACAGAATTACATATACGATGATCCGTCCCTACCGAATGGATATTGGTCGATTGTCAGTCCCTTGCAGGAGACCATTAACCCCCATGCATTAGTAGGTAACCCTCCATCTTTGTTCTGAGTGTGTCTGGTTTAAAGTTCAGATACAGTGGAAAAAACCAAACAGATTGATGATGGTGGTGATGATGTATACTCGCATATACATTAGCCCCGAGTATATCATGCCAAGATACATTACATTTTGAAAATACTTCCTCCGCATAGACAAGCCTTGTTGTGAATCGATAGTTGGCTTCTTTTCTGATCCAAATAGTCGGCGAACAACCACGCATGTATAAGATTGGGGAATCTTTGGAACCATGGATCGGGTGATGCCCAACATACCCAACAAGCGAAGTTGTCTGACACCCATGAAACACAGTGAGAACGAGTGTCCGCTTCGGGGTTCCATAAAACCTCCTTCCTAACCCGCAGGGTAGCCCAGGGAAGACTTGATTTGGGAGGAAAATCATAACTAAAAGAAGGGTTCAGTCGAATGCATTAAACTCATTTATGCAACCCGCATTACTCTTACAACACCGAGATATACTACTTATCAAGACAGCCATGTGCTACACACGGCCAAGGTTGCCCATGATCCACTAACTAACAGTAAGCACTAGCCCTGCTAGTGGCTTAGCTTGAGCAACTGCGGATTTTGGAAATGCGCTAAACAATTTGGTTTGGTTCGTGTAGATGGTCTAGAATAAACTCCGATTATGGTACGCGCCAGAAGCCAAGAGTATAATGCGTACCCTAGACTCAATGTTGCAACAAAGACGATCGGGTGAAATATAAGAACATAATGAAAGCCAGGCTGTAAGGTATACCGAGCTCGGTCTGACCTATCTACGTGACCAAAGAATGAGAAACTATATCTGGTCCACTCAAGGCAAAGGAAACATTGCTGTGGTAATGTAATACCGGTACCCATTGATATCTACCTAGGAGTCTTGCCAACTTACAGAGTCAAGTCCTTCTGGCCGACAAGACCAAAATGGTTATAGTAGTGACCCCTGTACAGGTGCTGGCACAGGGACGTGTGATAATTCGTGTTGAAGATATTCAAGGCAAGCTTTGCAGTATCCTCAATTATCCGAGAAAGAGCCTAAAGATCATTCGAAAAAGTCACTAAAATAGCCTGTCCTTACCTGGGAAACAATTGCAGCGTGCAGGATAAGGATACCGCGCCCAACAATATGGGCGCGAACCCGCTACAGAATTTTTTCGTTATCGGGGTCAAAGGCAACCCCTAGACCAGTGAGACTGATGCTTGTAGCCCTTATTTAGATACCTGAATACTTCTTTGCGCTCAGGAGTAGGCTTTCAATGCGTTTAGCGAGGAAACTCCAGGTCCTTGATGTACACATTTGCCTATGCTGCTGTAGTGCCATAGAGAATATCAATTAGAAAGCCCGTCCTCTTGTTGAGGATAAGTTAGGAACTACCCGAGCTAGTGGGCCTCTCAAGGCCAGGCAGAAGAGTAAATCGGCATTCACTATCTGGACTACTGGCCCCAGCTAAGGCTTTTCCACTCACAAGCAGAAACTACTTTGCAAGTTCAGATTTGATGTCTTGATAATACAGTAGGGTATAGACGGATAAAAAAAGACGTGAAAAAATATACCTTCAGATCCAACGCATAGATGTTCGCCTGCAGTAAGAAGGAAGAAAGAAAGCTCTGCAGATCACCTAATGCTTTCAATCCTTACATGTCATCCAAGGAGACTGCATCTGCCATAATATGGAATTGCCAATCACGGAGTCAGAGCCGAATGTTGTTTCGGGTGGCCTGATTGGGAGAGATGAGGTAGTACTGGTTCTGATGCATTGACGGGCAACAAGGCATTCCGTACACGTTTGTATTGTTAGAATCATAATGCCTCATTCACTCGGCTCAGCCTGGCAAGTATCTCCTGGGGCCAAGTTCGTGTCACAGAATTCTCCCGCCTTCCCCAACTCATCTCCAAGTAATTGAATCGTCTTCTCGTAAACTCTTGCGGTCTCCATCTCCCATCTCCCTGGAGATGGATAGTCATCCGTACCGAAGACATCATCCATATCATCGTCGTCATCACTGAAGCCATCTTCATCTTCATCGTCAGGCCCATCAACTTGCTCTCTAGCCTCCACGACAGCTACACGGCAAGTTTCGGCAATACTTTTGATTCTGACTTTCTCCGTCATAGACACGACATTTCGTCTTGATTCGAAGCCTGGAAGAGGAGCTCCAGAGTCGGCATCCTCCCCTGTTAGGAGAGATGCAAATACAGAATCCATCTTCTTAAGTAGACGAAAAGTCGCCTTCGGAGAAAATGGATATTCAGGGAGGTATGTGTTAATATACACAGCCAAAGAGATCAAATAGGGTATTTGAAGAGATGCTGTGTGAAATCAGTTAGTTTTATAGCTAAACTTCTTTCGCTCCGCGCAGAGAATGAAGCAGGGCAGATACACATACGGGTCCCAGTAACCCAGAGAATATCCACCAAGCCCTCGATGTCTTTGGCCACTTCTTTGAAGCTCTCATATCCCCTTTCCGACTCCTGCTGGGCCTGGTCATCAAATGCGCTGCTGAACTTTTTGGCATGTCGGCGATTAATGATCAAGATTGTCTTGTCAATATGGTTGATGACAGTGGTTTCTTTTGTTGAACCTGGCTTGAGGGGGTGCAGTCTTGGTCTGGGGAGAATGGATGGGGTAGCAGTGGATGTCGAAGGAGCCGGGGAGGAAAGAGATGGCTGTATGAATCCCCCTGGCTCAGGATGTGATGGAGTAAAAGACATGGACGAAAGTTATATATATAAAAGGTATTCAATGGCAAAGTGGTTTTCGCCAAAAATGATACAAGAAAACGGACTAAGCTCACAACACTTTTGTAGAGTGGCAAGGGATTAATAATGGAATGCACACAATTTCAGACAAGGCCACTATCCAGCCCCGTGCAGATATGCAAACAGAAAGAATGGGAAATACAGCGTTCCTTACTTCAAGTACCTGGTCGTGTATGAAGTTAGATGGGACATTGCAACACATCGATCGTGAGCAACCGAAGATGTCATGCCAAGCCCTGAAGATAGGATAAATAGGGTGGTCTGTGCGCACTTCAGAACTGATTATGTGCACCTCGCGAGTATCTACTACATAATACATGACCAGAGAAGATATAGTTGTAATCTAATCTATTATATATATGGGAATATAGGCACAGGCGTAGCTAGTGCCCACCTTAGTATTGAGAATCCATATGTAGGTATACATATCATCAACCGATACATGCGCCTATTTGATCTCACAGCTCCGCGACCGTAAGATTCAGAAGGAAGTAAAAGTACCTGGTCGGAGTCTCAGTTGTCAGCAGGTGTCCTAGATCTGCGGCAGTACTCTACAGACAGGGATGGTTGCTTATTGCTTCAGAGAGGTGAGAAGATATTGATTACGCTGGTTTTTGAAGGCATGGCATGACATCGACCAAGGTCGAGTCTTGCTTTCCTCTGGCCCCAGCGGACTCATCTTTGGTATGGAATATAATGAAATACGGTGCAAAAGATGAAAGAAAGATGCGCACTTTACTCACAGCCACTTCGCACGTACATCTCCAATCCATAGGGAAGTCAAAAACTTTTAACCCATCCCAAACGCCATGCTAAGAATCGATGCCGACACACATTGAACGCATTATTCAGGCTAATAAGTCATCAGCAATGGGGAAAGGGAAATCGTAGAAACAGAATTGAACTCACCCTAATCTTTCCCTTTCGTTTCTTTATCTCCTCCAACTTCTTCTTATCCTCATCGAACTTCTTCAGCAACTCATTCTGCCTCTCCTTCCTCTTCTCTCTAGACTGGAACCGGTAGAAGTCCTCTAATCCCTGCGACTTCTTCTTCTGCTTCTCTATCAAGTCCCTAGCCTCATCTTCGTGTGCCACAGACGTAAGCTTCGGCCCACTCGTAACCGTGATAAACCCATCCTCGTCCGGCTCCTGTGCCCTGAGTGCCTGCTCCTTCCTCCTAGCCTCTGCAACAGCTTCAAACACTGTCATGAAGTCGTTCACCGTACGCAGCAACTCCGCACGGGGAGGATACCGAGCCTTTTCATGGTCGAGATAACGCTGCAAGCCCAGCTGAGGAAGACGGTCCTCGATGCCTTCGCCCCAGACAATTTCCCCATCCTTCTTTTTGCCTGCTTTCTTGGCCGCTTTCACGCTGGCCTCCATGCTAGGCTTATCGACAAAGACGACGACGGCATGCGCGCCGCTTTTTTGGAGTTCACTATCCCACGTAGACGGTAACGAGACGTCATCCAGCTGATTCTGTAGCTCATCGGCTGTCACTCTCTTTCTCTTTTTGCTCTTCGAGACATTCGCGACCATGCTATGCGCCGTGGTCATTCCTCCCTTTTTCTTTGTTGGTACGGCTTCGAAGTGGACTCGCTCCACACGGCCGGCGGCTAGCTGGGACCCGAATAAGTGGCGCAGATGTAGCTCTGTCGTGTCGATAGGAACATTGACTATGAATAGAGAGCGGGGTGTATCAGCATCGGGAATGCGTGGTTCATGAGGTCGGAGGTAGAGATAGTGTGTTGCAGGCTTTGCACGCTTTGACTCGGCCGGGGGCAAACGAAGTGGCAAGACGGTGTAGCCAGCTATTTCTAGATCCTTTCCCATTTTTACGGTATGTGTTTAGTAAAAAAGGGAAATTAAAAAGAGAAGAAAACTCAGGTTGATGGGTTTGTTGCGCGGAAGAAATTCTAGCGGGAATTTTTATTTTAGCCGGGAAGGCGGAGAAGATTTAATTATAAATTTATCTGATAAAGAAAGTCAATCCCATTCTAGACTACCTGCGAACCACATGCACATGGAACTAGTGGACACCTGAAGTACACTTAATATGCTCATCAAAGCAAATGGTACTATCCTCAGAAGAAAACCGATTACTAGCTTTTCTCAATGTTAAAGCCCTTTATACTGCTCGTCTTGATCCGTGCATCACGGTAGAGTTATTGCATTCTACACCTTATCGGGATCATTGATACCGCCATTAGTGATCACGTATGTCGCTTCTTGTTCCGGGCAATCTAGATCTATCAGCCAGGATGGTCATCCTAATTCCAGGGAGGCTATACCTGGTGAGTCCTGGATTTTTGCAACACGTTCGTCGCCGCGGCCTTTGCGAAGAAGAACTCGAGTTGTGGATGCATGCGCTAGAACATGCCCACCCACAGGCTTGCGTCCATCTGCACCCGCAAAGAGGGCACTAGCACCAGGGTCGCTCTGGACTTGATTTGTCTATCTTTGCATGAGATTGACATTCTCCGCAATGATGAAAGCAACTCACCATTAGGACGCAAACATTAAATTCTAAAGTGATATCCGATCAGTCCACAAACCAAAGGGCCAGAATAGGAGCACAAACCTTCAGCCATATGGGCGAGCTTCATCAGAAACTGATTAAGCTTTTGCTGACGGTCCGCAAGTTCTCCGCGCCCACAGTAATCCACCCGGAAGCAATTCATGATGCTGTCAATAATCAAAAGACGGTAGTCTCCACCAGTGAACTCTTTGCTCAGGACGTTCAACAACTCCAGCTGATGTTCACTATTAAGAGCCCGCGCATAGGCAATATTTTCCCGAGCGGAGTCAGCGTCAACGCCGAATCGTTCGGCAATCTGGGCAATACGCTCCGGTCTAAACGTGCCTTCGGTATCAATGTAAGCAACTTTGCCGTCTGCACCGCCCATTTCCTTTGGAAGCTGTGCGACAACGGACATAGTATGGGATAGCTGTGTCTTCCCACACCGGAATTCCCCAAATACTTCGCTGATACTCATGCTTTGGAAGCCCCTAAGACCGTCAGTAGTTCTTTACATGGCGATAGTGCCTACGACTTACCCTCCCAAGATAGTATCAAATTGCTTGCTCCCTGTTGAGATACGAACGACTCGCTTCCGCTGATGGCTCAACTCCATTGCCGTGATAAATCCAGACGCAGATGGCTAGTCGAATCAGTGATCGTGGTATAATCTTAAGCCATGTTTTGCATACCAAGCACTTGTTGATGGCATCCTTGATCTTTTCAACTTTGACCTCGCTGAAGCCCCTAATCTTCAAAAGGGTCTTTCGGGTAGCCCCATGAACGGACTAAGCAGGTAAACGTAAGAATGCTTAAGAACCTGAACCGCTTTCGTCTATACAGGCCGTGGGACATACAGCAACAGTATAGAAGCCATTGGTCTTCAATTTTGTGATATCGGCGGCACCGATCCCTGTTCGTGGTGAGATTGTACTTTACACGGATGACAGGAAGGTATACCATGAGCTTGAATGCTGTCAACGTCCACGATGAAGACCTATAAGTGCCAAAGCTCAGACTATATTAGGAATCACGAGCTAGAGACATGGGAAGAGGGTGGAATCTGAAAGAGAAATTAAGGGAAGAAACTCAACATCATCATTAAACTCATCACTTGAATTAGAGCCGGGCATGATGTTTGTGTAAAAGCGAGCCCGGTATAGGTTATAGTCGAGATTAGGAGATAAGTTTCTTAATAGAGGACTGATGCAAGAGGGACGAGCTGCGACTTGAAGTGAAAGAAAGTCGGCCAGGGTCACGAGCCTTTCCATAACAGGAATCGTCCAGAACCTCCAACATAGCAGGTCATGGGTTGGGCAACCTTATGGGGATGACAATCCGGAGGTAGTCCATAGTATAATGTTTCAGAAGATATTGGCTAGGCTAAGGCCAGGCGGAATGAGGTGGTTGCATGCAATCGAAGCCAGCCAGAGGTCTATAGAGATCTATAGACATAGGAATACAAAACCTGGACCTGAATGATATGGGATGCAACAAGAGAGATCACTTCTCAAAAATGGGAAGGTGTGAAACTATACGAAGAGAAATAATGGTGGAACTTAAGAAGAAATGAAATTTGCTTTTCTGCTTTTTTTTCTGCTTTTGCTTCCCCTTCACCAGATGTAGAGTATAGGACGGAAAGATGAGGTAACCACCGCGCCAGGTACCGTTCTTTGATCACTGATGACCTCCAATACCACAATCCCATCTGTACCATCTTGAAGCCTTTTCCAATGCATATCAACGCGTCTGCTTTGGTCCACCTATGTCTCTCCTGCGCTCAATTAACCCTTCGCCTCGCCTCGTCTCCTTCTTTTCTTGCCGCACCTATAATTCAAAATGTGAAAGATACCCGAGGGAACAATAGACGCCAATCGTAAGAACCTGAGCCATGTATAGGATCCAAGCCGTAAGGGAGCCTAAGACTTCGTGAAACTTTTGTTCGTCGTATACATAAGAGGAATAGAAAAGGGCCGGTGCCGAGAACTGAAACACGGGGGCGTAATATATGCAAAGGAAGAAACGTGGGAGTAGAAAGAAAATCAAAACCGTAGTCGGCAAGCCCTAATACAAAAATGAAAAAAGGAAATAGGCTCCCAAAAATGGGATCAATCAACTCCGAACCACAACGGCTGTTTATGCGACAGCAGTGGTAGGAGCAGCAGGCGCAGCAGGCGCTGCCTCTGCGGTAGTCTCAGGAGCGGCGGCGCCAGTAGCAGGGGCAGCTGGAGCAGCAGCGGGGGTAGACTCAACAGGCTGCTGGGTAGCGGCCTCGTTGTTAGGGCAGTCCCGGGAAATGTGGCCAGCCTGGGCACACTTGTAGCAGACCTTGCCAGCAGAGCTCAAGGGACCACCGTTGGGGGCGGTGCAGTCACGAGAGATATGGCCCTAGAAAAGGTTAAAATCCATCATTCGACCAACACAATGGGCTGCACATTATACTCACAAGCTTGCCGCAAGCGTAGCACTTCATAGCCTGAGCCTGGCAGTCACGGGCGAAGTGGTTAGGGCCACCGCACTTGTAGCAAGTGGCAGCGCGAGGGTAACCACCGTATCCGCCGCGGAAGCCACCATTGAATCCACCACGAGGAGCACCGACACCGCGGCCAGCGCCGGAAGCAGGAGCCGGGCAGTTGCGCTGGAACAAAATCATGTTAACCACTATTCTGACAATACCTCGAGCATGATTAACATACAGCAAGGTGGCCGGGCTGGCTGCAGTTGTAGCAACGGCCGTTAGCGCCATTGAGACGCAGAGTGGGACAGTCGGCCTGAACGTGGCCTAGACCTTGGCAGTTGTAGCATTGCTTGGCTAGAGGATACACGTCAACCTCCCTATTATTTCCTTCATGTCAACTAGGAATCCTTACTCTCGGTAGTACGGGGACGAGGGCAGCTGCTGGACTCATGGCCTATCGATGTATTAGATTTCGGGACTAAGAAGGTAGCGCGCATGGTACCTTACCAGGCTGCTTGCCTTATCGAGAATGACATATTAGTGAACTATCCTCAGCAGTTGCAGGTAAGCAGAGTCACTCACAGTTGTAGCAGAGACGCTCAGACGAAGAGCACACCTCTATCAGCCCGTTAGCGAAATCCGGCGGATTGATAGTAGTCCTCTACAAAGGTGACCAACCAGCATAGTGGCCAATATTGCCACACTTGTAGCACGCACGGCGAGAAAGCAACATCTTGTCGGTATACTAGCTAGCCAGAAATAGTATTGTCAGTCGCTATGCCAAACTGTCATTCATCTTGTAACTTGTTTCGTAGGTGGTCTTCTGTATGGTTTGTGGAACGAGCGCCGCCGAATTCAGTGGCCGGTAACCCAGCGATGTAAAAATCCTAGGTGCTTGCTCTCGCAGTCTTTCAATCATTTTGGACTACCCGAAACCCGACCAGCATAGGAAGGAGGAAAAAAAAAGTGCGCATGTGAAGCACATCGAGAAAGATTGAGAAATCGAGCGGCGCTTGTGCGTCCTTTCATTATAACAGAGAAGCCGAAAGTCACAAGAAGTTTCCGAGAACTTTGGAGAGACTCACTCTTCCTAAAACCAACAACAAACTTCAAATCTCCTTATCAAATGTGCTGAATTTGACCGTCAACTTGAGAACCTTGGAGGAGGAGCAACACTTCCAACAGCCCACTCTCGACACTGGAAAAAGGTGGGCTGACAAAGAAAAAGCGACTAAAAAAAAAAGTACACCACACAGAACTTACAACACAGCAGCTCTCCAAAACGGAACCCTCACAGCACTCCAACAATCCCTCCGAACCACAGGGAAGAACAGGAAATATCTTGAAAATTCTCGTAACCCACAGAAGAGTAAAAATTTCAGTCAAGCGATGAAGCCGAGACAGGAAAAGCCAGACGGTGTTTTAGTTCCGTACACTAAGGGTTACTTTCGATTACAGAACGCTAGAAAAAACGAGGAAAACAAGAGAAAAAACTTAGCTCCCGGGCTTTCCCGTATTGCGTATGGTTGTTACAGTATTACCGTCGACATCCCCGGATTCCGTATCGTTTGGCAGAGGCCTGAGGCACACGTTCCCGAAGTATTGACATTCTCTAGAATCTCTAGTGCTCCAGCCCTTGCATTTCCAATACCACCTGATTGTGAAACCTGATGCGTGAACTCTGAAGCCCTGACAGACGGTGCCGGTCTAGTTTTCCGAATTAGGAAAAGCGCTTGACACTGTGGTCCTTTGTCTCTCTTTACGATTTTAGATCTCTATTCCACTCTCATGTTCAGCAGACTCGCGCACATCCGTCCTGTCTAAAGGCTACATAGGGCAAGAGATGCTATATATATAGCACTTGAGGTAGATACTGCACGTAGCCGATAATCTCAGTAATATGGAATCTTCCTGGTCAACCCCTTTGGATCAGTGGGGTTTCTCCACGCAGAATACTCCCTATCTGAAGAGTATATACAGATCTGAGTGCTGAACCCATTATAGGAGGCTATGGTTTGTATGTGCACTGTAGGTACAAGTGTTAGCGCTCACTAAGTGATGAAATTTAGCCAAATCTAGTATACGATATGTTATATTAGACAACTGCATAGAGTATACTCAAATCACCAGATACAAATATATGTTTATCTAAAAATTTGTTCTTTAGGCTGCACAGACTGACTCTACCAGCTATATTGTTGTTTTCACTTCTGTTGCAAGTAGTATTGCTTCCATTTCAGATGTGGAAACTAGTTCATCTAACCAAATAACTGTTCCCAAGGGTGTTCTATTATAGGTATAATTTCATTGTTTGATTGTGTGGCCTTGAATTTGACCAATCGAAGTGCCTATTATGCATAAGCTACTGGATCTGTACTGGATATTATTACTATAGGGATTGCTTCTGCGTTCCCTATCTTAATCGATCTCAATTTACGGGCCACGGGGACAGTGCGATTGTAAGTGACCAGGTTGAAAGAGCGACATCAGCTGGGCGCGGTGGCTCGATGGTCAGGAGGAGTAGGGTTTTGGCTCTTTAGAAGAAGGAAATGGTGTGAAAGGGTCGGTCTGGTCATTCCCCACCTAATAAGATGGATACGTTAAGTTGGGGGAAGATGGAGAGTGTCTTTGTACGTTTACTACGCAATGTATTTGATCACTCGACATCTCTTGAATGAGATTCATTCTATGGCTCAGGTGCTGCTAAGCAACTATTTCATTCATATATTAATGTGCCCTGCAATGCATATGGTAACAGAATCAAACAGTAGTCATCAAAATATTTACTCTTCCTTCTCAATCACCGCTGGAGCCTTAATCTCACGGCCCTTGAGGAACTCAAGCCCCTCACCACCCTGTTTGATTTATGTTAGTATAGATCCTCAGATGAACACATGACTTGTTTGTTCTCGATCGACAATAAGAACGGCGAACTTACATAGCTGATCAGCGGGGAGACCTCAACCCCAACGGCCTCGCCTTCGGTGACAACAACTCCGCCGGCCTTCTCAATCCAGCGCTGTCCCTGGTTCATGATGTCGCGTTTGCTAGTGTCAGGGTCATCTTCACCAGTGCCCCTAGCATTCTTCAGCGGCGAGAACTCATCCTCGCGGCGTACCTCGATAGATGCAAACTTCTCCAGAGGGGTCAACGGGAAGACATCGAAGACAAATTGCTCCAACTTGATACCGTTGGGCTTTTCAGGTTTGAAACCCTCGCCGGTCTCAATGTTCACGCAAGGAATCTTCTTGCGAGCAACGTGGTGAGGCAGCTTGTGGGACCAAGTCTCGATAGACTCAAAGAAGCGGAAGGAATAGTAGTGGTTGACGATGTTGGCAGCGCGGAACTTCAGCACATCAGGTTGCTTGGGGTCCTTAGCCTCAGCCGTCTCCTTGTCGATTTCGGAGTATTCAACTACATCAGGCTTGCCATTCTTCTGAAGGATCAAACCAACCGACTCGGTAGCATTGCGCTTACGGACCACCTTAGTAGCGATATCAACCTTCTTGGAAGCGGCGAAACCAATGAAGACGGGGTCGGCAACCTTGACTAGGCAGTTGTCGACGCAGTAAGTGTGAATGTGTTCGATACCACGCTTCCGCATGTCTTCGCGCACACCAGAGGTAATGAGGGCTTGGTAGATTCCACCATTTCCGTCAGGGGCAACAGCAGCCTAGGCATAGTTGTCAGTACACTGGGTTGGTCTCCATCAAAGGGAGTATCGTACCTTAGACTTGGTCTCCAACAAAATCTTACCCTCATTAGAAATGCAGGGCAGGACACCCTGCTCGAAGATGACGACGTTCTTCTTGTCCAGTCCAAAATACTTGTGCTGCTCGAAGAACTCTTCCGTGGGCTTGCGGGTAGGTCCACTGGTCATGACATACCAGGGGATGATGGCTTCCTTGCCGGAAGTTCCTTGCGCCAGGAGCTGGAGCTTGGCAATACGCTCTGCCTGGATCTGGAAGAGGGACTTCTGACTGGGTAGACCAATATCGAAGCAGCCCTTGGGTGCAGAGCTTCCCAAACGGGTACCCTGTCCACCAGCCATCAGGACCACCGCGACCTTGTTCTCCGACACCGCCTGGAGACCTTCATCGTACCACCGCTGGATGTCCTTCGGGTCCGAGTCCATGATAGAGGCAGTGGCCACTTCAGGGAGGGGTTCGAGGGTAACGGGGCCATCCTGAGCTTTGGCGGGGTTAAGAACCTTGTCGGCCAGTTCATTGATCCGGTTGGGGTCGAAGTTGCTCAACTGATGGAAGAGTTGAGCCTTCTCGACCTGGTTTAATTGATCGGCGAATTTGAAAACATGTCCTTGCCCGGCAGCAGTATATTTCTGTTGTAGTTGCTGGAACTCTTCAGGGGAAGGCTGGCGAGGGGTGTTTTCGGAATGGCCATGGAGCAGATTGGATACGGTTTCCTTAATAGCTGCCGCCATGGTGTTGAACTTGAATGTAAGTGGACTCGGAGGGAAATATGCAGAGTTTGTTCGAAGGGAGGAGAGATGTGGATGTTGGGGGGAGGAGAATGCGGGAAAGCGAGAATTAGAGTCAGGGAGGGGTTTTGGGAATGAATGGCGGGGTGCAACTGAAGCTCTGGGATGAAGGGTCTTTTAAAGCAACAACAACTTAATCTAATACTAAGGAGTGTGTTGTCAAGCCACAGGCTGACCGCCGGGAATAGTCTACCTCACTAATGGTTTATTTTTATTCCACTATTATTTTTAGTCAGGAGGAACAGAAAGAGAGGTGCTCCATAGATAGTACTACTACATACTAGCAGCCTAGTACTCCATCGCAACCCATGATTTTCCCATCTCATTGAGGGTAAGTGCCTATAATTAGCGATCAGCAAGTGAGTTTCCAAGTCTCGACGGGAGATCGGACTGGCCAACCATGCTTCAGGGAACGGTAGAAGGCGGAGCTCTCGTGGGCCGCCATCGATGTGAAGCCGTGGGGCCACAAGTTTCATCAGGGGGTTTCGGTTGGTCAGTGGGATCGAGGGATTTATCGGGTAGGGCTCAGGAGAAAATGAAGTCAATCATCAACATCGCCCATATTTAGTTACGTAGGTATGCTTGATTTATTTTACACAGGGAATATATAACAGGCACTAGGAATTTGAGAAACAAGTCAACGACGCCTCCTTTCCCCATAACGTTCATCATCCCGGCGTCGCTCATGGTCGTTGTAGCGACCACGGTCTTTATCGCGATATTCCCCCCGTGCTGGGCTTCGACTGTGAGACCGGTCACGGTGTCGTCTCCGATAGGGATCTCGATAGGAGTCTCGCCGAGGACTTCGGCTAACCCGTCGGTCACGATTGGAACTTCGTTGTGGACTCCGGCTGTATGGCCGCCTGCGAGGGGCCTTGTCACCCTTGTCACCCTTGTCAAACACTAGGTTATAATCGTTCTCTGCTTCACGAGCGTTATCAGACGCCCTATACTGGCGCTTCTTCTCAAGGCTTGCTACGCCGCCGAACCCGCCTCTCTGACCACTGCGTTTGGAGATAGTAGCGTTCCTCCAGCTTTCTGACAATTTCGACACCTGCATGACTCATCAGCAACGCTAGGTAGTAAACAGAGACTCGTAGACTGACACTTTGAGAGAAATCCACATGAATGCGATGATCATCAATTAGCACGCCCTGCATCTTGAAGTAGGCTTGTTCACAATCTTTCTGGTTTTCGAATTCGATAAAAGCGTACTGCAAGCTATCCCCTGTTCGTTTGTCTCGAATGACCTCGCATGATAAAATTGGACCAAACCGGCTGAAGATCAAGTGAAGATCCTCGTCTACTGTCTGTTAGCGTATGACTCCACAGGCGTAAGAGGACATTTCCGAGGACGGTGAACTCATACCTTGAGTGACAGGATTCAATTTGCAGACAAACAAGACATTCTCTGGCGGCTTAACCTCCGCAAATGGAAGATCACCAACCATTTCAAGGGTCAGCGCCTGTGCTCTTGCTTCGCGCTCTCGCCGTAATTTCTCCATAGATTCCTCGTCCATATTATCGTCGAGCTCCTCATCATCGGCTATTCTCACAGTAGCTAGCTGCGCCTTTGAGGGCAAAGGGCTCTCAGCTGGAGTCACCAGGCCCGGGGGATCTTCGAATGGGTCGTCAAGAATAACCGTATGTCGGATACGGATGTCTTTGAGAGGTCGACCCCGGTCGTCTATGAAGGCTTCATTTACCTTCTCAAGGACATCGAACCCCTCCACAACCTTCCCAAAGATCACCGCTTTGCCATCCAGATAATCAAGATTCTCTCCCAATGTGACAATGAATTGGCTCGCAGCGATGCGCTGATCGGGGTCATGCGGCGAAGGAACTGTGGCCATACTCACCGTTCCTCTTTCATCGTGCTTCAACTTCCGTGGAGGCTCGAGCGAAAACGTCCTCTTCGGCGGACCTTCCAGAAGGCCCCAAATCGACGAACCGCCATCGCTTTCCGAGGAATCAGGTCCGAGGGGATCGCCGGTTTGGAAAGTGAAGTTTTTCTGGACGCTATGGACGGGGGAGAAATTATAGTACTTGACTTTGCATAGCTTCAGGAAGCTATAGCGGAAGAAAATGGATAGCTTAGTTTCGGGTTCAGCTACTCGACATTATACGCGCGCAAGATACGCAAAAGCCAGGATATCACGTGAGAGATCAAGTGGACTTACTTTTCGCAGGCTTTAGGGCACTCGTCAACTAGTAAGTCAATGACAATGTCACCAAGGGAAGTCTCCAGGAGGACGCTCATGGCGTTCTGGTGGTCACACGTGAAGTGGGGATGATCGGCCGTGCGTTTGACAAGGATACAAGAAGGTGGAGAAAAATAAAGCAAATATTAGAATTGGACAGAGTAGGCCAAAGTGAGAAAGGGGCCAGCACAGCAGTCAAGAATTAAGCTATTGATCGGAAGCCTGACCCTGTGGAGGAGAGATGATATGGTTGAAGAATTGACGGTAGTAGTATCTTTTAGTCTCAAGGCGGAAAAGTTAAGGTGCGGAGCCGCTGCCACCAAACAAAAGCCAATTTGGTCCGTCGATCCCCAGCTAGTTGGTAATTTGGTATAGGTAACTAAATGTACATACCGTACACGAGAGCCATGACCACTTCTAGTCGGCTGACCCTACCCCAGTGCACACTGTTCACTCTACTTCTATTTTCGAAGAGCTTACAACACCCTTCGAATCGTTGAACCGGCACCCCTTCGTGTAACTAGAACCCACTTTTCAATCCAACGGCAGGCCTTCCAGTAGACCCGTTGGATGTGAAATTGGGCGCGCAAGGTGGACATCTTACTCAAAGGTTGGCCAAGATTGGTAACTGTTTATCATGACAAATGATCCGTTTGGTCAGTTCTTCTCTTGTGAGATGCTTCGATACTTGGAGGACAAAGCTCAATTGTGACCCCCGTATGCTCTTCCACGGAGTGGAAAACGTGCTTGGCATCAAGCAAAACAGCATATGAGGTAAACATTCTTGGTACACTTGTTAAGGTACTACTGACTGTTCACTTGTTTCTCAAGTTCCACAGCAGAAGCGTTGGATAAAACGGTCTACTGCAGCTTCTACCATTTCACACCGATTAGCAACTCTGCGCCGCAAAGAGAAAAGGGAAAACACGTGGTTGATCTTGATAGAATTTCTGTTCTCTTCTTCCCTGTCTCACCTTTTTCGGCCTCGCAACCGTCTCATTTGTTCTTTCATCAATAATAGTGTATTTTTTTTCTTTTCTTTCCCTTTCTTTCCTTTTTGTACCCCTTGATAATAATTAGCCCCAGCGCTAACATATATCAAGCATGTTTCACTGGTTCCTGGCACCTAGTGGCTGGTCCATTTGTCAACATGGGTCCATTTCCGACCAAACATCTTCAGAAGAAAGGAAAGGATGTCTGCAGACTGCCTCGGATCTTTCCTTCTAAATGGCTCATTTAGTCCCTTCATTTCTCCTTCATTACGTCAGCGAACCTTGGTTCGGCGTGATTGTGATCCTCAATTATAGACAAGGAGCTCATTGGGTTCTTTTGTCTGCTAAATGGGTCTGCTACAAACGAAGCTAATCTCACCAGGGAGCCTTGTTCGCGTATGCGCAGACAAATGTGAATCTGCTATGTCAGGTACATCCTTTCTGTTCACCCCTTGACCTTTGTACATAGCAGAGCTTTCTTGTCCAAGATTCCTGCCATTAATAATGAATGTTCTCATGTACTTTGCCTCACTATAACCGTATTCCTTTCTCGTTTTATGCCCTTTACTTTCTTCGGTTTTGTTTGATTTATTCTGTACTATCTTCGGGGATGGTATTAGGTGATTGGAGAGTGATAGACACGCAGCCTATGCACTGACGCAGATCCAGCCCAGTGACCTGGACACAGGTTTCAAGTCGGTTCATTTATGTCAGGGCTTCATTCGGGCCCAGTCTTGGCTACTAAGCCACATTTGCTTTCGTTGGGACTGGCATGATCTAATCGCGCCGAAGCATCACCGTTAGTCTTGTGGCTAGGATGTGCTAGAGCTATCCGAGACACCAGCGTAATACTCTTGCGCTAGGTCGTTTATCAGGGCCTCTATTGTGTGTTCAGCAGTTCATCACTCATTTGTCGAGGTAAAAGCTGGGCTTCCGAAGACTTTCATAGCCGCCTCTGGCTGCCGACTCTTCTTTAGGTCATAGGCGGCGTGTCAAAAGTACCAAGATGTTTGTTTGACGTTGAAGACGGCACGAAGCCCAACCATAGGTCTCTAACACCGCCATTTAATGAAGGCAAACAATCTTCATACTCGTCTCGGCCAACCCACGGGATGCAGTTTTGGAAGGCTTTCGCAAACGTAATCGACTGCTGTTCGCTCGTCGTCAAATGTATATGTTGAGGCTGACGCCAGTCCTCACTTTAAGATCCATTTATGGAGAGAAATGGATCCACTTGAAGATGGCCGTGATTCAGGGAGAAAGTCTGTGGAGACCTGGTCGTGGCTATTGGCTCAGCAGAGCTCAGAAAGGTTTCCGGCTCTCTCAGCCTGACTTGTTATGGCGACTATCAGGTCATGTCCACTCGTGCAACGTTACTTTGTGAAACAAAACCTCTTAAAACGCCGGGAAATTCAGTCTGTCGTCTGTCTGGCTGACCTTCTACCAGGGTGCTTCTAGGGTCCCGGCCGACTTGACGTCTGCCTTGGATAGAGTAGGCGGAAATTTGCATAGTGCAACGAGAAGGTCAGGTATCAACTTAGCCACTTGCTCGAGCCAGCAAGTCAGTTAGGAGCCCTTTCTGGATTTTGAGCTCTTCCGTCGAAAAAATATACATTTAACGGACCAACAGAAGAGAAAAGATATTTATTTTTTGAAAAAACAAATACTGATAAAAGAGCAATCAGAAAATTAAGCCTGACACATTGACTTAAAACTGACATCGCCTCCGACTGAATCCCCCTCACCCTTCCCCGGTCCCTTTTCCAATGCGCGAAGATAGGCGGAACATGTTGGCCACTATCATTCCCGGTTCATTGGCTTTTGATGCTTCCGACAACCTCTGATTATATTTTGAATTTCCCGTATTTATTTTGACTTTATGTACGTCTCAGGACTGGAACCAATGCATTTCCTTCGCTGCTGATACTTGAAGTAATGGCACGTTCTTTCTACACCCCGGAAGACGAGGTCGGTTTCGACCCCCAACCTCAACAAGATGTACTTTCGTTATCACATTCGACGCAGGCTAGCAGCCAGCAGACGGTTGTAGACAGAATTATTGGACCCAATATTCCAATTCCGGAGGGAGAGAAGAGTCGAAATGCCACCAGACGACGGATTCCCGTTGCAGTGAGTTCCTTTACTCCAGGAAAGGTATAAATAATCTTACATCTGCAGTGCAATCGATGTCGAAAACGGAAAATCAAGTGTAGCGGTGATGTTGGTGACGGCCAAGGCTGTTCAAATTGTCGGACCTCAGGAAATACGCACTGCCAGTTCTTAAGGGTCAGTCCTCTTCACCGATTTATGGATTCCCCTGCGATAAGCTAAGATCCAGCCAAGGTCAATTCATCAATGCTGCAGACAAAGGCTACTGGGTGGCCGTACTCCTTTATGAACGGTGCACTGTCTTCAGCTCATCAGAGACAGGGCACATACACATCCTCAATGGCTACAAGGCAAGAGTTGTTGTCGGCGAATCCCTCTGATTTCCGTGTTACTTCGCTCCCACGCCCATCAGCCTTTGACATCAGCTCGACCGAGCCTCAACAGTCCTATAGTCGCTCAAGCTTTACTCAGGATCATATGGCCAGTTATGATGAAGAACCCTCGACTATTTACGGTTCACAGCCTGCAACTTACGGGGTGCCCACGACACTACCTCAAGGAGCCCTTGGAGGCTACTACGAGGTCCCATGGTCAAAGGCATGTCATTCTGGCCTTAACGTTACCAGGGGAGGGATTTTGCCCGACCATGAAGCGGAGGGTACGTTTCACCATCCCGATTACGCTTATATGATATCGGCGCCGGGAACCCACTCTACAGATACGACTTTTGTGCCCTCAATGGTTGCTCTATCATCTGAGGAGCAAGGGGCAGACCGGACACTTCCCACCCCCAGTGGGCGGAACCAGCTTCAACTGGGTCTTTCGGTGCTTCCGACATCGTCCAGTGCCATTTCAGGGCTTCCTCAGCAAGACTGCAGGGCTGGACACCCCTGGGCACCAAAAGCTATTGTCACTGCCAACAACGCCCGGCCGATGAAGCAATTTACCCCCGAACCTTTCAACATCAGTCCTCTAAACAGGGCAAAGCCACCCCCATCGAACGCGCAGGAGATGGTGCTTGGATATTTACCAATGACATCGGCTAGTGCTTCGTCATCGTTGATGCCCTCCTGTGGCACGTTCGCTCGATTGAACCCAGCGAATTCCGGTGAAGAGCTGCAGAGAAATGAGGAAGCCCCAATGCGACGGCCGATCTTGACTGACAGTGCCCGCGTTTCTCTTATGGATGATAGCTCCAACATCTACGGTTACTGCAGTTCTGAGAGGAGAAAAGGACCCAAACCAGGCACTTCCGGGATGCTGATGAACGGACTTCCTTACACGCGACCTCCCGAGCAGCTTCAAAACACACCCTCTTTAGCATTCAGCTTGCCGGTAGCAGACGGCCTTTCGGGTCCCGGGACAACCACAGAAGCACATCGAACGCAAGCTTTGAGTAACCCGGGGGGCTTCTATTCCGAGGCATGCTGAGCGGCTGTGCATGTTACTGCAGCTCAAGCGCTCTGACCTGCTGAGCAGCTCGTTTTTACACGGCGTTTCGGTAGAGTTTCATTTCGTTTGTTTCTACTATTTGTAATTGCGTTGTCTGACAGCCAAGAACTGGTGCAAATCTTCATCTGTTTGTACTCTTACCGTCCCCCTACCCCCTGATTCCCTTCTTGGCCCTCCGATAGTTCTTGGTTATTCCAAATACCTCTCCTGCTTTGTACACCCTTCAATATCTTCTTTTTTTATTTTCCCGGATCTCGGTCCTGGAAAACCAAAAGTTACACTAATATCGAGGTAGGCAAGGACTGTCGGGCTTGTAACTTAGCTTCTTCCTTCCGTTCTATCCTTTATGGGAACCATAATATGAGGTCTAGGCTAGGCCACGGTGGGAGGCATTTCTGAGCGAACGGTGGCTTGTTTGAAATCCGTTTGATCCTTGTGTCCATTTGGCGGTTCTATTTTTGCTGGACCTTTCCTTCCCTGGTCGAGCTTCCTGTGCTTTTAAACCTGCGTGACTCCAACCGCAGCCCCGGAACCCGTAAACAACCATCAGTTACGAATATTTAATATCGGTACACAAAACATTCAATAGTCTCTCTTTGATCCTATAGCCGTCACTAGACAACAATTCGAGGATAGATGCGAGGCATTTCTCCATATACGAAGCAGATCATGTTGCTCGTGAACAGAACCTTAAAAGCCAAGGAATGTTAGAAATAAGATGCACCAAAATCTTCGCTTTGTTCCCCAAAGCTATTTTCTTATATCCCTATTCAAGTAAGAGAAAGCCAAACAAGGCTGAACCTAGTTATTGTCTCTACACCAATCGTGTCCAGTCCTGTGCGCCCTTTGTCTACCTAATCTGGTTCCCATTTACACTAGGTACGACGTATGTATACACGCAGTGGACCTAGGGACAATGGAATTCGTCTGTAGAGAACAATATCGAGTAAGTACAGCAAGTATATCCGGCGATAAAGAAAAAGGAAAGATCCTAATTTTTCAGAACAGGAACAGAAAGACAAGGGGGGAAGGAAACGATCATCAATTCGGAGCCGACTCGGCCTTGTACAATATCTACATCCATGAATGAGCTAGGGAGGATTTATCCCGTCTGAGAGATGGTAGCCGAAGGGGATCAGTGGTCTCCCCGAGACAGTTCCTACTAGTTGACTGACATAGTTTGAGATCGGAGGGGTTCCTGTGTTACACTACGGCATCTATGGGGTGTTTGAGATTGCCGTGATTTTGTTGGGGAGGGTTCATCTTGGGGGGAATTGGAGTACAGGGCATTCCGAAGCTTATTGGTCTGCGAGCGGTGGATTTAGACTCCCCTTTACTAAATAAAATATGATCGGGGAGACAACGCCAATACTAGAGCCGAGCAAGCTACGCATCGAGCACCAGAACTACCACCAAGGCTGCCAAGGGGGGAGCGATGCACGTTATAGACATGAACCCATGAATGCCTAACATCTCACAAGCCTTGTTGCCTGGGAACTTGGTTGGAGAGGAAGAAGTGAGATCCCCATCGACAGGTGTGAAAACCCAAAAAAGAAAAACAGGAACAAACCCTTGTATAGTAAAAGCACCGATGTAAGTAAGTAATGTGAAAATCCCAGAGTTGTAAAAGAAACATTTTTCATCCACCAGCCCGGAAACAAAATAAAGTAGAAAAGATGAGATATAAGAATCCAGAACCCCCAAATCTCAAATTTGATATTTTTTTTGTTTCTTTTGATTGTGATTGTTTGCAGTTGCCCCCTGTCATCGTCATGGCATGATAACTATATTTGCATAGCATAGCATACATAGCTTTAGTATGGTATGGTGTATCGCATATGCGTATGCATATGCAAATGTGAATGCGAATCGCTCAATCACCACCACAGGGTTATCATCAATAGCTTTAGCACTAGCCCCTGGCCGCAACCAACAATCCTTCCCATCCGATCCATATCCATCAGAATTCGACAGGTCGAGGGCGCGCTTAGTTCTTGGACTTCTTGGGGCCCTTGGTCTTGGCGGTACCGCGGAACTTCTTGGAACGGTTCTTGCGCTGCTTGCCTGTATTCCGGAAGAAAATCATACATCAGCCCATGCCTTGTTTCGATACCCAGATATACCATATCCAGAAGGGAAGAAAATGCATACGCTGCTGTCTGCTGGCCTTCTCGATCTTCTCGGCAGCTCCGATACGGACGAGACGGTAGTGAGGCTCGAACTTCTTCAGGGCCTCCTGGGAGTCGTAGACGAGGGCGAAGCCAGTGCTCTTGCCACCACCGTATTGCGTACGGAAGCCGAAGACGGAGACCTGGTCCTTGTTGGCCTTGTACAGGTCGGCGAGCTTGCCGCGGAGCTCATCCTTGGAGACGTTGGCGCGGTTGGGGTGGAGGACGTCACTGCAAATCATATTAGAGATCATGTTCAAATCATCGTTCTTCTTTGCTTGCGAATGCTGAAAGTTCCGATCCATCACTGCCAGTCCTCCTCTTTAAAAGATTATAGTACCCCCATAATCAATATCTCTTCAGAAAAATCACATCCCCATAAGAACCCCCTCTTGATCCAAAACTTCTCACACCGAAAAAAATTCGTCTGTCCAAGAACAAATCGCCCCATCCCAAGTCGCCCTCGGAAGCAAGATTGTGAACAGCGGAAAGAGGAAAAAAGAGGGAGCTTACACGACCATCTGCTTACGAGCAAGCAGGGGGTTGCGGATGAACTTGCGAGTCCGCAGGGTAACGGGAGTGTCGGCCATTATTGCGGTAGCAGCGAATATCTGCGTCGACGAGGACAGGAAGTTGGGGGGATTGTCGAAGTCGCTGTCGTTGGCGGGCTCGAAGTGGTCGGTCGTCAAATCCCAAAGTGACAATTTTGCTTGTTGTGCATGTGGGCTCGCTAAGGGCGCACTAACCCGCCTTCGGTAGGTCTACGCACGTGACATTCTTATCCGCTATCGATTGATCGTCCCCTCATTTTCAATCGAGTATATCATTTTTCTGGAACATTAAAAAAAGAAAAAAGATCTCCCTAGAAATGTCTCTGGATAAAGAAATCCATTCACTAAAGAAGCTCGCCGCGCAGTACTCCCAACAACTCGATCTGACTCATCTCGCTCTCCCCAATGCCTCCACTATCGTCCATCCCGACATCCAATGCGCCATCTATGAGCTGATGTTCAACGAGGCCGCAGCGTGGCCCCTCCCTCCAGTGGGCTATCGCACCCGCGTCCTAAAAACGATCATATCACGGATTGAAGAGGGAATCACCGATCCGGAGGAGGATGTACGTCTGATTCTAACCTCCTTGTCCTGTACGCAGAACCCATTTCTAGAAATACAGATGATAGTTATTTCCAATCAAGATATACAATACACCATTATACGTTTCTACCAATTGAATCATCCACCCTTCATAAAATAACCATTAACAAGTAATACCTTACTAGGAATTAAATTCCGACCTCATCGAAACCTGGACAGATCTCATCTCCCTCCCCAAACCGTCTCAAATCCAGCAAGCCCAACAATTAACCTACATCAAATACACCGCCCCCACCACCACCACATCTCAAGACCCCCAAACAGTGATCACCTCGGAATCGCGCGGCCTGATCTACTCCTCCGGCACCACCGGCTTTCGCACCTGGGAAGCTTCCCTCCACCTCGGAACATACCTCTCCACACCCACTGGCGCAGCCCATGTAACCGGTAAAAGGGTGATCGAGCTCGGTGCGGGAACAGGGTTCGTGTCGATGTATGCGGCGAAGTACCTGCGGCCGCAATTTGTGCTTGCGACGGATCGCGAGGGGACACTGATCGAAAATATGAAGGACAGCAAGGCGAGGAATGGGTTAGGTGGAGAGTTTGGGGTCGGAGCTTGGGAATGGGGAACGCCGTTGGGGTATCCGACTGAAGACGATACCGAGAGCATAGCAAGGGAGGATCTGTGTTTTGATGTTGTGCTCGGTGCAGATTTGGTACGTGACGTTTCATCATTCATCCTATTTGGTGTTCTTGGTTCGACGGGGTTAATGGAAAGTAGACCTATGACACAGACTTACTTCCTCTGCTTTTCGCTACGCTTCATGACCTTTTTGATAACTACCAGGCCCAAGAGTTCATTCTCTCAGCTACACTACGGAACCAGAAGACTTTCCAGGCGTTTCTGGACGCTTGTGGTATGTGCTCCCTTCAATATTCCTGCGTTGGTGCATGGTTATGGAGTTGACTATTTCGCAGACAACAATCGTTTCAAAGCAGTGTGCCTACCATATGAGTCGCCGCAGACGGAGAACCAGACTGGTTTCTTTCATGAGACCGAGATTCCAATTCGAACATATCGGGTCACGAGGTAAACATCCTTTGCGCAAGAGATTTGATGTTCGCGAGAAAGAACTTGGCTACGCCTGTGAGTAGCTGAGCCTATCCATGGGTCAATGACTAAAGTATCCTTAAGATATTATAGATAGTTCTGTTATATGCTGTATTGAACTTTCATACACAAAGCACAATATGGAAAGGTTGGCAACCTGCCAGTGTATGGATAATGTCCGCTGGGTATCATGTAAGCAAAGAGAGATGCCAAGTATGTGCTCGCTAATCGATAAAGAAGGGATGTTAAAAGCTACCAGGGTTGCTTATATACGAGCATGCAGCTCATCCCCGTTGTAGCATGAAAGGAAATGGTACAAAGGACCAAACTGTGCATAGTGTGTTAAAACACTACTGTCGATACCATTTGTGCGTCACTCTGCCAAAGTCTCCCTCAACAGGCTCTCATCAATAGCCTCCGCGTGAATCGCAAAAGGGGCTCGGGAGGCTGGCCGAAAACCCATGACTGGACCTTTCTGGTTCACGCCAGGGTATCGAAATCGCAGGCTCGGAACTTTGTCAGCCTTGGGGTTTGGCTGTCTATTCGCAGTGGATGGAGGTGTCGTATCGGGCGATACCTGCGACGTCGACGGTATTGGTTGCTCTTGGTCAGGTTTTGTGTCACCAATACCCGCTGTGGGTGCATTTCCCAGATGCTCTCGCATCCATCCACCTACGCGGCGGGTGAGGGAAATCTTCCGGGTAGGTGTCCCAGTGGGGTCCAAGTGGCCACCTATTGCTGACCCTGTCTCGGATTGCTTACTAGCAGCCATTGAAGCAAGTAGCGTTTGCGAAGACTGGTCAATTTTTGAAGGCTCTCTATTGGCGGTGACTCTGCTCGTTGAGAGAACTGGGTTGGAGAACCGATCGTTACTAGAGAAGATACGGCGCGGTACGCGAGCAGATAAGGGCCTCGAGATGTCCTCCATCCGCGATGGACGTCGACTGGGAGTATGGATGTCCATGCCTGCAACAGAGAACAAGCTCTCATGCGATTGTTTACGCCTTGAGCGATAAGGGGAAGCAAAAACATCATCAGGCGCAGGAGAAAAGGCCCTCTCAGAAGTGGCGTAATGCAAGGAGTCCTCCCGTTCCTCCGGTATGACAGGCTGGAATGCATCCCCAAGACCTTTGCTGAAAACACCATCATCCAAAGGATCGACCGAAACATCCGTTTCAGGAGACCGAAAACTAGCATCATAACAGCTGCTTTTTCGTCGACTAACCCTTAATGGCGAAAAGGCTGTGCTGTCGGGGCTCGTAGCTCGCGAAGAATCAAACCCACGCTCTACTCTATCAAATATAGATGACGACCGATATCCGGACTGCGGTGAGCTCGCTATGGACTCAGCCCCGGGCGACTGCGAGGACCAGCGTTGAGAAGCCGAGGGAATCTGTAGGGAGGGCTGGGACATCATTGTGAATGCAGAAGAGTGTGAAGACTGCGACCGGTGCGTTGGTTTGCGAGCTAATTTCGTACCAGAAGGAGAGTGTACAGTATTCGGATGCCCCCAGGTATGTCTGTTCTTGGAACGTCGGAAGAGCGCGGGCCTCTCCTTTTTGATAGATGGCGTATGATAATGGTGGTGAATGTGGAACTCTTGCGGTGCCTGGCGCGGTTCCTTGGACTCAAGTTCTTGACTCAATGTCGGTGCAAGTTGCGGCACTTGCCCGTCACTTTCTGTCATTGGGACCACTGGTGCGAGATAATCTGATCCCGCAGACACTGCACCTCTTGGTTCGAACTCTCTAGCAATTCCCGTAATTCAACGATTCCTAATTGCAAATTGGCATTATCCTGTAATATGTCCCGGACAAAGCGGGACACCACGGTTCCCCCGTGACTCCTGCCCAACTCATGAGTCGCCGCGGCTCCCTTTAGCCGTCTAGCAGCGCCATCTAGCTCCCGCTCAACGGTCCGTTTCTTCTCCATGCGCTGGACTGCTTCGGCATGGCGCTCGCGTTCCTGCTGTGCCTCCTTCTCGATGCGGTCGATTTGATCATGGAGATCCCTTAGAGTACTTTCCGCCTTCTTCCATCGCTGGACCGCCGATCTTGATTCTTCTTCAGCTGACTCCAGGCTCTCATGGAGCCTGGATTGTTCATTCTCCATCTGAACTAATTGGGCGTCGAGGTCAGCTGCACGAGTAGCTGACACCGTCACTTTGCGAAGCTCAGCTTCGGAATTCTCTAGTCTAACTTCAAGGGACTTGGCATGAGAATCTGCATCAGCGACGGCCTTGTTCAGAATGTCCAGCTGCTCCAACAATCCACGATTTTCTTCGATGATGCGGGCATTTTCGACCTGCACCTCACGTTTCTCGCGTTCTAGGTTCTCAATACTGGTGAGGAACCGATGACGGTCTTCTTCAGCCTCGGCCATGTATGATTCATGGCGATGGAGTAAAGCCTGTAATGCAAAAGTTAGTGATGACGAGCTCGTGGAAGCCAACGCCGTAACAGCGTTATCTTGGAAGGCAGCCATGACGGACAACAGCACAATGGGAGAGGATGGGAGACCTAGCGGTCATTAGAGTCGCCATGGGCGGCACGAAGTTGACAGGTCCTCTCTGTCTCTCTCCCTTTTTTGCTTTTTCTCAATACTTCAGCTCGAAGTCCTCTCGCTAAGGTAACGCAAGGAGGGGTCCGAATCCAAAGGAGAACAAACAATGTGATAGGGGGAAATTAAAACAAACTATGTGGACTTGAGAGTACGACGATCTATGTACTCTCAAGGGACACCAAGTAGGTACAAAGAATGTTGACAGACATCTAGCCAAGAAATCAAGAAAGCAAAAGCGACGGAAGTCTGGGCCATAAATATGGATGCATCGAAAATAACGAAATGATGACGCAGAGGCCTGATTTCGACCCAAAGCGCCGACAAAGGAACGTACCTGGCCCAATCGAGCAGCCGTAGCGAGATCCTTTTCCAACCCCTCCAGGGCCACATTGTTGTGCTGCAGGAATGCACAGTCATGACGGCCACAGCAACAGCGCAGAGCCGTCGGAGTGGATGAGGAGTGGGTAGGAATGCATGGAACCTGACTAGCAGGAACCGGGCTATGCGGACGGGATTCCATGGCTGGGATTAGAATGCGACTTTGCCCAAGACTGTGTGTGAGTTGGCACCCCTTGGAGTGGCTAGCTGAAGCGGAGGCGCCAAATCATCGGGCTGAGCTGTCGATTTCCAGTGGATCTGAGGGGTCAATGAGGGGTGGAAATGAGATCAGTACATCTCCACCATCAAACTCAGTTGAAAAGCCATGTAAAGGAAAGCCTCTGATGGCTGTTGTTAATGGATCGCAGTTGACAGTAGTAAACTATGAATGGAAACGTAACTTGGAATGGAAGAGTAAGTAGTTTGTTTGGCAGGGAGAAAAAAGGCGGAGAAGACTGTCGATAAGTTCTTCAATCGGAGCGCTGATTGGCTACAAAGAGAGTTCCAGTCACACACGGTTCTTTACCCGCAATGTTCCAGGAGTTACGTAGGTACGCAGATGATAGCGGATATCACTCGCCTCATTTACAGTACCATTACTTGCAGGTACTGTACTGGAGGAACGAAAATAGCAACGGTACCACTAGTAGTTCGTCTAACTTGGTGAGACACATGTATGGAAGGGAAAAAAAAAAAAAACGAAAGAAAGAAACCACTCTTCGCCTCACAGTTTGTCTTGAAACCACGCAACACGATTCTGACCTACATAAGCATGCTCACAGGCCAAGTTCGTGATAGGCGATGGACCCGACTAGACCAACTTGGGAGCAAGCCTTCCCAGATCGTCGCTGATGTGCGGCCATGAGTGGAGTGACTGGTAGAAATCGGAACACGAGATATCACCACTCATGGTAATTCCTCCGGATCATCATCTGTATGCGCCTCCAAGCACATTGCCTTGAGTTAATGAGAAAAAAAACTAAAAAAACTCTATCGGCTGAATTTGGAATTGAATTGGAAAATTATTACTAGTCATGGCTACTACTGTATGTACCTGTGGCGACATACTTATCTAGGTCCGTGTATATGAACACAGCAAACTCAAAGTATCTCCGGACGAGGATCAGGTCAACCTGACCGGGAAATAAGGAAAGACAGAGGAATTGTGCAGGGCTACCAATAGACAATCAGGAAAAAGAAAAAGAAAAAAGAGGGGAAAAAAAGGGCTACCAGTCTTCATATGCCACGCCCACAGAATAATCAAGTAATCAGTCCCGAACATGCTGCGGAAGGATTCAAAGCAGAAAATCATTTCGCACATTAATAAACGCCCCGGCGCCTCCTTCTTCACCGATTTCATTGACCAGCACTTCCGTCTGTTGATATAGCCGCTCCAGAGCAGCCGATGATGATTTGCCAAGTGAAACTACACGTAGGTTAGTCGGGGATCCACTTCGCACGAATTATCGGAGTGAAGTACCTAATATAGCCGAATTCAACTCCTCCGCAACAGCAATGCGGCCTGCAGGGTCTAGATAATGCCCGTGGACTGACTGCTTCGGATCAGGATACGCCACCAAGGAGAAAATGTCATCCAGCATCTTCTTGTTCCCTCCGCGCTCGTCATTCGGATAATCTAGGCGTAATTGCTGTCCATACTGGACGGCTTCGGTGAGGAGCTCGTTGAACTTCGCAGCGTTCTCAGGCTCTTCCGTATCCATTCCATCCGCATTCCAGCCACCACCGTGGTGCATCTGTTCGTCAAGCTCCATCTCTTCGTCAAAAACGGCACTGCCGTCAGAAAGACCATTAGATGACTTCTCTCTCTTAGATGCAGCCCAGGAGGGCTCGTTGCATCTACGCATCATCTCCAAAAATTTCCGACATCGTAACTTGAAGTGGATATGAGGGAAGTTTTGCAGAACATTGGCGTAATAAGCATTAGTGTACTTCAGTGCCTTGTCGATATCTCCATCCAGTATCGCTGCTCGGATTTCTGCGTAGAGTTAGTACAAATTATCTAGAAAGTCGGGAACGCCGCACTTTGCCGGTTGATCGCTTCAACATCTTCCTCTGCCTCATACTTCTTCAGTGGCTCCGCACGCCCATTCTGCAGCGCCGCCGATTCTGCAGCGACCTCTTCTGCAAAAGCCCGAGCCGTTTCAACATATCCGTCATGAGCTAGGAACTGTGCAACCAGTTCTTGGAGCAAGGCAGACTCGTCCAAGGGTGGCTGTAGGTTAGCGGTGCTGGTGGCACGAATCTCTGAGTGAATGGCAAATTTCTCTTTCTGTATATGATCAGTTATATTTATACTGCCAACAAGATCCACGCAACACACCTTAACCATGCCATCAATGTCGAACATGAACGGATGTTGGCCAAAGTTCGCCGCCAAATGCACAGGCGGCTGTTTTTTCATACCCACCGAAGGGTAGACCTTCAGGTTTCTCAACTCCCGAAAGGCATTACCTAGCTTGTCGTTAGCTTTTCTCATAGAGACTTTTCCTGCCGAGAGGTCATTACCCAAAAATACGCCATTTTTAGTGAAAAATGCACAACCCGTCGAAAAATTGACACCGCAGCCCACAGTGTCGTTTACACCAAAGGTAGGGCCGTATTGTCTTCCTTGCCCTTGACTTTCACCGAAGAATGACTTGCCATCATCGCCATGGTACGCCCAAGATTCTTGCTCCCATCCCGGGAGACGCTCAACTGATGCTTTATTACTGGAGAATCCGATTCCGATCATTCTATTATAGTAAGTATATCTCCCAAAAGAAAGAAAAAAAGGACAGAGGAATGGAAAGAAAAAAGGAAGACAATCATCTCCCTCTAAAAATGATGTGGACATACCCCTCCTTAGGTTTGGATAGAATCGTAATTTCAAAATAGTAGATCCCGCACTGCGGCGGCATCGGGTTATCTGCGCGGACGGCGGCAGCTTCATGATCGTGTTTATTGATCGGGCCGGTATACCGGACCTCCAATCCCCCGCTTGTAAGCTCCAGGCCAGAATATTTATCTCCGTCGTTCCACCGTGAAGGAAGTGGCATAACGTGTTCGTCATCGCTAGAGGGTTCCCTCTCGATGATATCATAGGTCATCCCACGATGAGATGGTGCTATACGCGGCAGGCTCGCTTGACTGGAGGAGGTAGAAATGGGATTCGACGTTGATGAAGAATAAATGGCATCCCGTTGGGACGCCATTTTGGCTCGACGGGCTGCATCGAGGCGGGAGATGTACCTGGAGTTACGCAGATATGATGGCGTAAATGAAGACGATGCAACATCGGAGAAGCTGCCGGGATTTTGGGGGAAGGGATCAGAACGAGCGAAGCTGGCGTATTTCCGGGAATAAGGAGGAAGTGTATCGCCGGACGACATCCTCCATGGGGAGTTCATCTGCATGTCTGCATCCAGGTCTGCGGATGGCCTCAGATGGCGGCCGTCGGGAGGAAATGGTGGGGGATAAGAAGTGGAGTTCGAGGTCAGCAGTTGCGAGAACGGACCACTGTTAGTTGGTGGCGAGAGAGCAGTTCCAGAAAGGACGGAAGCGTAGGATGAACGACGGGGGATGGTCGAGATGCTTGGGCCGGAATATGTGGTGGTTACAGGAGCTCCTCGAGCTCCACCGGACGGGGGAAATGGTGCATCGGCCATATTGGAGTCGTTCGTTGGATGGAGCCAAAGCCAACGGCCGGCGGGTACTTAGTGATGAGCGGGGAGGGACGACGAACATACACAACACCCTCACGCGAGCAACTTTCGAAGCTCGAATGACCGTGGCAACAGTGAAATGCGTAGCATTTGTCAACGCTTACTAGTAACTTGCTCCGTTTATCTTTTTGCGTCTTCTTTCGCTCTTTGTCTGTGTTTTTCTGGATTATGGTCTCTCGGCCACGGGTCACTTGGTTTACCGTAAACGGCAGTGGAGCACAACAACTAGAAGCCTACTAGTAGTAGTATTCGCTGTTGACTCTATAAAATAGTATTCAAGACGATCTCTCAGCGGTATCGAAAATTTGGGAAAGCAATCAGATCAGTCAATCTAGGAAAGACTGGGATTCGCAGTTACAATGAAGTTGGGGAAAGACTAGAGAATGGGAATTCAGGAAACGTCTTGTGTGACGGGAAAGGAGAGGAGAGACAATAATGCCTCAGGAAGTTGTCTGATTCCGTACTACAAGGGAAAGAGTCACGGGGCCACGGGTTTCAATCTATTTGTTTAATAAGAGGAAAAAAGAACATGATGGCATGACAGGAATGTGGCTGCGGGGGAGGGAAGGGAAGGGGAGAAGCACGGGCGCCTAGAGCTTCTGGAGAAGAGTAAGGAAAAAAGTATTCATAGATACATCGGCCTCCGTGATGTATGTATTAGTACTTTATTACTACTACTGCTCTTCCGACTAAGGAGAGATGAGGGGAACCCCGGGCCTCTAGTACCACCTTCCATTTACTAGGAACCAGCTATGGTTCCACGAAAGTGGTACTCATGAGCGCACCAGTATATACGACTACTATATATCCATGCAACAAGACTTCTTTGACGGTGTCCGTATATACCAGCATATTCAGTATGATTTGCTGAGAACCCCTCCTGATATGCACCCATCTCCGGCTTATGCTAGCAGCTGATCTGTCCCTCTCTGGTCAGCAATCACTCCTACAATTACCGGCCACCAAGACGGCTAGGGCTTCAGTTTAGTTCCAGACGAGATGTTACATCAAAGAATGAAAAGCCACTATCATCTCTTACATTCATTAATGAGTTAGTCAAAAGAGAATAAAAAAACAAAAAAAAAAAAGTCCAGAACCACTCGATCGAAGAAAACGTGGATAGCAAGACTCGTTCATTCTAGAGAATCGGTTTGAATCGCAAATCCCTTGCATACCCTACTGATACCTCTAATGAGAACCTCGGTTGCATCTGTAGATCTATTCCCAACGTTTTTCTGCATACAATAAACATCCCCCACATGGTCTTGGTAGAGGGGGTAGCTCAGATCTTGCGTAAAACCCCAAATCCAGCAAGCATAATAGTACAAACAATGAACCAGAAAGGACAAAGACAGATCAAAAGGCTATTGAGCGTGCAAACTCAGGTAAACAAAGGCAGGAACAGGTAAAACTTCTGTCAGTGGTCAGAAATGACAGAAAACACATGAGGTAGCCCATTATGGGAGCGAAAGATAGAACTTCCCAAACGCCAATCCAACCCATACAAAGGTTAAACATTAAAACAACGCTCCAGGAACCATGGAAAAATAAAAAAGGTAGACTGAAATTAATGTACACGAAGGGTGATAGCCGAGTCAAATTATGGGGGTTGCGCCTATGCGGCCATGGCAATGGCAGGTGAAGATGCCTCTGCGATATTCGGAGGGACCGGAGTTAGGTCTCCGTCGCCAGAGTTGCTCTTCTCGCTAGGAACCCCGCTGGCGCTTTGATTCGCCTTGCTATCGCTATCACCGGTCTCTAGGACAGACTCCTTGATTTCGCCATTGTCGTCTGTTTTCTGAGGTCGAGGAGTTCGCCAGGTCGGTAGCTGCCACTGGATGCCAGTGAAGCTCTTCAGTTGCAAGGACTTGCGTTCCCATTTACGGCATGGAGCACCCGAACGATCAAGGGCGCGAAGGCCAGCATTAATGGCGCCGGTGTTGGCTTTGGGTCCTAGCCTATGGGATGCTGCGATTTTGACGGGTTCGGAGGCACCGTCGTCACTATTACTCCTTAAGTTAGCATGTGTTTGCAGTATCAGCTAGGGAGACAACAAAGACCTACAGTCTAGGCTTCTTCTTCGGACCAGGCTTCCCTCTCGGCTTAGGCGTTGTCTCGCTCGTCTGGTTCAGACTTCGTTTGACTCCAGGCTTGGGACCAGGTACACCTTTGCGACGGGGGGTGTCAGCAGCTGAGGTGCCCGCAGCCGGTGTAGATGCAGCATCCGATGCATTGTCGGACGGATGGATAGGCGCTTCCACGAAAGATGACGCCGGGGAGGAGGGTTCCTTCTCCTTGACGGGGGAGGAGGCTCTGGACTCCTCGTCCTTAATGTTGCTCTTCCTGTCTTTGACCTCTGGGGGCGGAGGACTGGCAAAGCGACTTAACAAGTCTGGCGAGAGCTTGAGGACGACGACCCCTTTCGAAGAGGGTCCAGACCTACTGGAGCGACCGTTGGTGGCAGTGGCAGCGGGCATTTCAGCTCAATGGGTATTCTGCCGATGTCGATTTTAAGAGGGTATGATAGAAGAAATGACAATTAGCTCCGATGGGTGTGAAGGGAAGGTAAAAGCCTTTAAGACGCGGAGTGGCAGTGTTGGTGGAAGGCAGAAAGTTGGATATTTTTTAAATGGCGATTGTGACGTGGGTGACGGACAAGTTGGTTGGCTGGAGAAGTGGTTCCAGACGTCAAACGCGGCGGCGCGACTTGGTCAGGGTGAGGCAAAAGTTTGACAGGGCTGATGGAGACAAGAGGAGCGAAGCACGAGTGACATAGTCCGGTTGGATAGTGACGATGATGAAGTTGGATGGTTGAGGATAGGAGAAGATGAAGAGAGGGAGAGGGGCGGAGGGAAAGAAAAAGGACGGGGGATGGAAGAAAGGGATGGGGATGCGCCGTGTGGTGGTTTCATTGTTGGTGTGTGTTCATCTCGTCTACTAAGTAGGGAACAGCCAGACTTTCACACGCTCTCTCTGTTCTGTGCGGTCAGTCCAGTGACTGTCCAGGAGACGAGAAGCTGAACCTTCTGCGGACCGAATCACCCTAAGGAAATTTACCGCGCTCGCGTCTCGTACCGTTTCTTACGCGTGGCTTCCGTGGCTCGGGGTTGAGGAAACGTCATCGGCCGGGGGTTTCTGACTGTATGGGACGTTCAATTTAATTCATTCTATACTACCTCACCTACTAACTATACCTACACAGTACATATTCTTAGTATACGTACCTATTAATATTTCATATTTTTTCTAATCCTTACCCTTGCTGATTGATTTCTAATTTTGCTAACTGACTTGATTTAATAAGCGCTCTTCCTTTCTCTTACTATCCATGAACAATAGTCTCATTCCCTAGACACAGGAAGTGGGCTCCTCCTCCCCATGCTCCATGCCCAGCCGAGTTAAATTAGGTCGTTCCATTCATCCTAAAATCTGAGAAAGAAGTGGGAAGGTATTGGAAAACCTATCCTTCTCAGAGGATTAGAGATTTCACGGAATACCGAGGCAGGAAATGGAAACCTCGTATCTATCTTACAAGTTAAACATTTTCTTTTTTCTTTCTTTTTTTTCTCACCTTCCCATCGATCGAGCTATGGATCGCCAGTCCCGCTTATTAGTGAGGTAGACTTTTTGGCACGACTTCCACCGCTTCCGTCCGGGTTTGTTTCGTAGGTTCGGGATACGGGTATTCACTTCTAACAGGTAATTACAGATCCAAAGGATGAGGAAGAAGGAGAAAGAAGAATTTGAAGCGCGTTTGCGGTATGAACCTAGACGGCCTTCCATTATTGATGGATCAGTCATACCCTTTAACTAGCATACTGCAGACCTTCACTCGACACAGGTATCTAGACTACTAGACCATATAACATTTATTCACTGATGATACATCTACACTACCAAGTGGACCGGAACAGAAAGATCCATTGTGTTGTGTTGTCAGATGATAGACCAAAATGACTGGGGGCACATATGCTGATGCCCATTCAGGAAACTAAAACGACTACTACACAGTAACCTACGTGACTTAGTACCGAGTAAAAAGGCAGTAAGACTTGAACCAAGAAATCCCTCCCGACCGGTTCGCCACAAACGGAATCACAATCACACAAGGCCTCGAATTACTAAATCAGAAAACCGCGCAATGGCCGGGAAACGGGCTTAATGTCCCGGTTATCCGTTCCCATTGATAATCCCCAACCGCCGAGAGTTATTCACCCAAGTAATCGAACGAGATAGGAATAAAAGGGCTTAATATTATTCCGAGTCCAGCAACTTGGGGCGAAATTGCCTTCCCTTCAATCTCACCTCAAATCTGTCGATGTACAATATCTATTACTATCGGTGTCCATCTACAACGAGGATATCAATCTCTATAGTAGTTCATGACCTATAATGAACTAGCTTATCAGGTATAATACTACCGAACTTGATTGAATCCATGTACAATTAACCGCCCATTCTAAAACTCCAGCGCTAATCGGCCTTCTTTTCTTGCCTTTTCCGTTCGATCACCTCCCCCACAGCCTGCTGCACCCCGGAACTAGCCCGTACACTGCTCAGGACCAACCCCTCCTTCATGCCCTTGCGTAGCGTGGCAACGCTCTCCCGATCCCCTTTGAATGGCGCGAATCCCAGCTGCAACAACCGCGTCGACTCACCGTCTGTAGCCCGGGAGAGCTGAGCTAATTGCGCGAGGCGCTGCATAGTTTGTGGGTGGATACGCTCGCCCGCTGCGGAAGACGACCCTTTGCTGACCTCTGGCGGTGTCACCTGCGAAATAAAGATATGCAGCATTACGGAGGCACGTTGCGCAAGGGTCAAGATCTGAAATGGTAGGAGATAGAAACTCGGTGTCTTCGTAGAAATCCCCAGTAACTTTTGCAGCTCCACGGGGATATAGGATGCGGGGAAGAACAATGCTCTGGGCTGCGTGATCAAAGCTAGTTCAAGAGTGATCAAGACAGCAAAAGTAAAAAAGCGCCACTGTGCACAGTTAGGGGGAAACAAACAGCAACTGAAGATGATCACTTACATAACGACCCCAGTTGGACCACCAGGTAAAGTTCAAGATGATAATGGTCACGAATCCTCCCACATACTGCGGTATCGACCGCTGCAACCCCGTAAACAGAAAATCCTGCACGGTCTTGACATTGCTCCAGCCAAGGATATCGGGCCCAAATCTATCGTATGCAAACCGCTTCGCAGGATCCAGTAAGGTATCTTGCGCCAGCTTCAAATATACAAAGTAGTCGTCGGAAGGCATGCCATCCCCCTGGTTGATCTTGTCTGGATGATGCTGCGCAGCAAGCCGCCGGAATCGCGATTTTATCGTCCTATCATCGGCCAATGGAGAGACTCCAAGGGCTTTGTAAAAATCCCCGGCAGCCTGAACCCGATGAAATGTCTCATAGAGCGTGTATAGGAGATAGCTTGTCACGACCAGAATAAAGATACGACGGCGATGTCGGGCATAGCGCGGAGAGGGGGGTTGGGGTCGAGGTTCACCCGCACGAATGGTAATTCCATAGTAAATATTCTGAACTATGGAAGTCGCATACTATATCCCACGTTGTCAGTAACGGCCATAACGTGCTGTGTGGAGCGCAACGGGAACCTGGAGAGGAAAGGTGAAGGATGACACTCACATTTGGTAGAAATGCCCAACCAGCAAAAGATAAAAGAGAGGCCATAAGGTTACTACAATTCCGCTCTTGTAGGCAGGACGTGAAACCAGCTATTTCTTATTATATACAAAAGTTAGCGCCATAAAGCACTATCGCATGTTGTCTTCTTCCATGGAGTTGCGCTCGGCGCCTGCCCTGAGCCTTACCGCCCTAGATACCGCCTTCCATTTCCCCACATGAGCAAAGGAAAAGAAAAAAAAAAATAAAAAAGTTTCTCGACATCTGAAAATCCACCGGATATCAATTCTCAAGAGTACTCCACAGGCGCACCCATTGCGCCATTATCGAACACAATGGCCGTCGACGCGATGGAAATCGATTCGGACCAGGCCCCAGCCGCCGCACCATCCCCAGAAAAAGAGCGCAAGCGCAAGCACAAGACCAAGGACGCATCATCCTCATCGCCGTCAAAGAAGAAGCGCAAGCACGAATCGAGCCAATTCACCGACGAAAGTGCTACTCATGACAGTGAAAAGAAGAAAAAGAGCAAGAAGTCCAAGGATAAGGCAAAGAGTAAACAGGCCGGTACAGGAGGAGCACCAATTCCGGACTCGCCTTATGTTCTGACAACCGCAACGCTCTATCTTCCACTATCGCCCATCTCGATTTCCCCAACTCATGCTAAAGCCTCCCTCCTGGCGGAACATCTCTCTCCTCTCCTCCTTACTTATTATGCTCCCCTTCAAGGAATCGTCCTGGCCTACTCCGATGCCTCGATATCGAGTACTCCACCTTCCTCATCTGCATCCTCTGATCCCGCAGACCCCAATCCGAAACCATTGACTCTCGCCAAGACGGCGGGCGAATACGGTGTGCTGTACGTTTACCTGACTGCGACGTTCCTGGTTTTCCGGCCACAAAAAGGTCAGATTCTCGAAGGGTGGGTCAACGTCCAGTCCGAAGGCTTCCTAGGCGCCGTTGTGCTCAACCTCTTCTCCGTCGGTATTGAACGTAAGAGACTCCCTTCGAACTGGAAATGGGTTCCACCAGGCGAAGAAGGCAGCGTCAACGGGGACCAGCAGAAGACAGCTACCGCATCAGAAGATGATGAATCCGAACCGTCTGCCTCCTTCGATCAAGAGAAAGAACACTTCAACCCCGTCTCGCTGGCAAACCCCGTCTCCGACACCGTCAATGAAGAGGTCAATGCTGAGGATGACGAATCTGTCACGGAGGGCTACTTTCAGTCTGTATCTGGTCACCGTGTACGCGGCACTGTCCGTTTCCGTGTCGTCGATGTCGACGTCATCCCCGGTTCAGAGCGCGATCGCAGTTTTCTTAGCATTGAGGGCACGATGCTCTCCCCGGAGGAGGAAGCCAGAGTACTTGAAGATGAGCGTAATGGTATCCTGACCACATCTGCCACCCCTCGGAGGGGACTCAGTCAAGAACCCCGGGTTTCCATGTCCGGCGCACTAGCAGCGCCATCGGTAGCTGCTATCCCAGAACCAGAAACTCCCAGCAAGACCAAGGAGCCGAAGGCCGAAAAGGAGAAGAAACCCAAATCCTCTAAGTCTAAGAAGAAGGAAAAGAAGGAGAAATGATTTATGGATCGAGTTTAACTCTGAGCGTATTACGTCTCGATTAAATTCAATCAAGTTATGTTTGTGTATAGAAGTTAGCATTTCATGTTCTATATTATTATTTTCACGTTGGGCGTTAGAGGGAGAAATCAAAACTTATTCTGGAACTATACATGCGACCCTTGCGGAAGATATATATCTGCATGTTATATCTTATATGTGCAAAGCTAGACCAATCGACAACGTTGGTTGTTTGATCAAATGGTGCAATAAGCTGATAATATATATCGATTGGTAACCATATAAGCTTTTTTTAAAGACTTAAATAGCGAGCTCACCCATGAATTAAGAGCAATCAATAATCTGTACTATCGAAGCAAACAATGTGAATTAAATCCTTATACCCTCCGGCAACC